CACAGAGTGTCTCATGTAGTCCTTGCTGTTTTGTTGTTAAGGATTCTCTACAGTACTTTTAGAATAGTTTAATGCTCAGTTCTATTAGGTCCTGTTACTCAATAATTCAAAATCCTTCATAATTTATATCTTGTGCCCTTTGCTTATTGGGATCAGTCCCAGGATCACTGTAACCCTGTACTAGATAAATGTCTTTCAAAGACATTTGTATAGTTTGATTTTTTTTCCTCATGATCGTTTCCTAAAATTGAGGCTCAGACCAAATTGCTTCATTTTTAAACATCCCAATATTAAGAAAATAATGCATTGTGCCTGACTGACAGATTCTAATAATTCATTAATTTGTTTCACTGCAAGGATGAAGATAATTTTTTAACACCTGTAATGTCATGGAAACACTGTTCCTGGAGTAAATAGTTCTCGAAAGTTGCAGGTGATTTTCGTCATTTGGAAAAATCAGCAAAGACAAGCTGGCTTTGTGGCAGAGGTCAAAGGTCATCTTACATTATGGCTTCCTGAAGTGGTACCTGTTAAGTGGTGCCATTAAGAAGGAGACGTGGTGTCTAGTGTGGGTTAGTAAGCTGCAGATCAGGCTTCCTGCTGGCTCTAAACAGAGTAATTATCCTCAAACTCTTCATGAAGATAGGACTATAATGAGATGGTAGAGTGGTGCGTGTAGCAGGAAGTGAAGTCGCTCTGCTGTTTCATCAGGGTGAGAAGCATGTTTTGGTCTCCAGCTGTGTGTCACAGTATGAACATCCACAAATGAATTTCAATTTATGTGATAAAATCAAGATCATACCCAATGATACTGCTTGAAAGGCAGTGCTCCTCAATATGTGCATTGATTAATTGCATTTCAGACGACATAATCTACAAAGGAAGTTGTTTTGTGTCCTGTATTGCTTTGTATAAGCCCCCTGTGACCCTACTGGATAAGTACTGGATAAGTGGTAGGAAGTTGGATGGATTTCATTGTAAAAAAGTCTTTAATAGTGAATTCCTCTGCCTTGTGCCTTGTGCTGTCTAGGATTATCTCCATGCTCCTATTAATCCTGTACTGATCAAGTGGTTGGATGATAGAAGTGAGTTTCCCTTTATTGTTATTATAATCAGCATACCTTTACAGATTTACATCAGTTACAGAATTTGTAGAATAAGGCAAGAGAAAACGTGTCATTGTTTGGTAGAGTTAACTTGGGTCAAGGAGTCCTGGCTGCACAGACAAGGCAAAGTTTTCAACAGAAGATATCAGGAAACTGACAGGTGGAGCCTCAGAGTGGTGCAACGATCTGGCTGCAGGAGTGAAAGCAGGGTATTTGGGTTAAGTACTTCATGGTTTTGTTAGGTGAAATGCTTTGCCTGTTAGGAATCTGACAAAGAGAATACCAGAATCAATTAAACGAGCTGGTCTGATCTAATAAATTTAAGCTGATAGATTTGGTATGTGCTGAAGCTCCACAGCTTTAGTGGGTGGGTCTTTGTGTAACTGCCAAGTTCATAATCTTAGTAAACTCATTAGCAGAAAGTGTTTTGTGTCAGACTGGCATCCTGTTCAGGGTGTTCCATAACCAACAGGCAAATGGGGGGCGGGGGGTGGAGGAATGAAGCAAATGAGAATTATGTGTTTCAGCACAAAAAAAATTCATTAAATGCTTAGTGACTATAAGCGCAACATGAATGTATCATAATTATCCAGCCACTGATCCAGTATATTTCCACAACATCTTCAAAGGTGGTTGTAACTGTCAGTTGAAATAAAAAAGATGAACCTACAAAAAGCAGAAAATATTGAAATTTGATCTTAGTCATTCTCAATAGACTAGCAATAGGTTGGGGACGAACAGCACTTAGAAAATAGCCAGGAGCAAAACTGGTTTTCCAGTCGATCAGGTTCACATCTATCACTGTGTTGTAGCTGATGCGTTGCAACCACAGTTAGGAAGGCGCTGGCACTACAGTTGCACTGACAGGAAACAATTTATAGGGTGTAATTATGATCAGAAGCTACAATAGGTGTGAAAACAGCCCACCAAATTAGGTCATATAGCGTTCAGGAGTTCAGCAGAAGCCACAAGGTTGAACCGTAGCTGGGAAATAGCTCTGTTATAGCCCTGGTCTTAGACATCACTAATCCACCTAAATCACAGTGACAGAACATATTTACTTTTTTGTCCATCTATCATTTTGCAGCTTCTCAGTTGCTCCTAGGAACTGCAATATCCACAGCTGTGAGAACATTTCCTGGGTGAGGGAACTACACGTTTTAATTCTACAATATAACAGCAAACGCTGTAGTTCCCTGACGTGTGCAACTCCTGGAAGTAGAAAAGTTATAAAGTGTGATTATAGCAGAGGGTGACATGCCGACCTAGGAAGTAATAATGAAGATTGCACACCTATTAGATACACTCTGTCTTAATGGTGCAGTACTCAGTAACATACGCTTAGAATCAGGTTTTTCCTCATACAGAACCACACTCACAACCTCCATGTATAAATTCACCTCCTGCCAACAACTCAGATGTTACTCCCACTATGGGGGCTGAGATATATCAGGGGCATCCCTGATATTTCCTGCTACTCATAGAATATATTGTGGTCTTCAAGGGCCCGCAACTATTTTAGACACAGGAATGGTTAGAAAAACTAGCATATTAACATGTAGACCCCTGGTTATATGTTTTTTTTTTTGTTGTCTGTTTTGGACTTCAAGCAATTGTTTCTTTGACACCATCCCTAGTGAATTGTTCTACTGTGATTTCCATGATTAATTCTTTCCTCCATATTCCTGCATTGTTATCCTAGTGTATGTTAAGGTGCTTAAGATAACTGGAAATGTTCAGGATTCCAAACAAGAAATACCTGGTGAGGTCTGGTGATACTCCCGATGAAATAATTGATTTATCTGCAACATCCATGAAAACTGTTCCGAATCATGGACTTCAAGGATTGATTAAGTCAGGGGTACTCAAATAGTAGAAACACAACGTATTCTGGACCGTACCATTGCCCCCAGGTTGGCAAAATCTACGGAGGGGGACCCTTGCCCCAGTCAGTGAAATTTACCCCACCCCCCACGGTCCTTGGCTAAGTTTAGCTGATGCATATTAGACCTTGGGGAAAAATCATTAAATACTACTGCTGATTTAAACACAAACTTTTCACTTTGTTGTGGGTACACACTAATACAATCATTCTAGGAATGTGTAACTGATCCTTCCGTATTTTAGCTAAAGTGTGGTATAGAGGTACCATATCCATGTCCATAATTTCAGACTTTCGTTTCTTATAGGCTTCTATTGGTATTAGATACATGTTCAGACTTGAACTCTGTCTTGCAGTGATCAATTTTCTATTCAATACTGTCAACAGAAAGACACATCCTGACCCACTTCTTAAGTCTTCCATGACTTTTTATACTTCTGGAAAGGAGGGGTGAGACAAATCAGGTTTTAAATACATTTGCTTAAACTTACTATCAAAGACTGTTTTTCCCCTTGTATTTGTTCAGAGAAACATATCTAAAGTTGATCCTTATTTTATTTACTATCTCTTGTTCAAGATTCATTTTAAATGCATTATCTTGCTATGCAAGGTCACACCTAGGTTAACGACGTTTGTTGCCAATTGTTTGCGAAACAGAATCCTGTGATGGGAAACTGCACTAAGAAACAACAGGATATAATCAGAACATCTGCAGTTATACCTTTTAAACTTGATAGTTATACCTGTTGAACCAGCTGCATTGGCCAACTTTGCCACAGGGTATCATTATTTCGTGTGAGAAAAGAAGAAAAACATTATGTGGTTTTTGTTCTTTGAAATTGTAGATACTGAATCCTGTTGTACTGCTGCATTAAACTACCCGTTAACCTTTAAACAGTAAATATGAACAACAGCGACATCTAGTGGAAGGTTGCTATTTTTCTCATAAACATAATAGCTATGGATGGTCACACTAACATACATATATATTCAGGAAAAGCATTTATAGATTACATTTTCTTTAGTTCTAGATTTTTGAATAAGTCAAAATATTCAAATCTGCATCTCAAACATAAAACAAAAGGAAATTTTAAGAAATCTGCAATAGTGTGGAATTATTTATAAATGCTACATGGTTTCTTACTGTGCCAGGAAATTAAAGGAAATAAAGCATCTAGCTTTTATTTACTGCTATTCGTTTTGCCTTAGATTTCCACTGATGTAATACAACAAATTGTTTCATAAACAATAATGAAAAGGATTTGAGAATCACAGCAAAATCTTTCATGCAAAGCCATAGCATCAGGTGTGATTTATAAAAATGTGCCAACATACTGAAATTAAATTAATTACAAATTATCAAAAAAATTTGCTATGGGAAATGTTGTTTGGATATCTTTGGGAATAAAGCACAACTTATCATTCAATATATCAAAACAAAAATTTTATTATAAAAAAGTACTATGAAATATACGATAACAAAATCACACTTCTGTAAATATTTTTACACATATATACACACACACACATTTGTATTCATATCTTCATTTCTATGGACAAAACCCTAATCCCAATGAGCAGTAATCAAACAAAATACAGGATATTTGACATTTTTAGTTTTTTTGATTACAGTCACAGTTTTTTATAAAATTCCCCTTGTGAGTTTCCCCTTGTGGGGATGGAAAAAATGGTCCCCATAACGTCAAAATATAACACACACACACAGACACACACTTGTACTCATATCTTTGTGGGGACCATCCATTCATTTCTATGGGGGGAAAACCCTAATTCCAACAATGATATTATTTACTCCTACCCAGCCCTAACCTTGCACCTTTACCTAAAACAGTGTTGTAGAGTCAAATAAGTCACACAATGTTCTGCTTTAATTCGGCCATACAAGTCTGATGACTAGACAACATGTATATTCAAAATGGTCTTAATAAACACCAACCCAGCACTCTGCTAATCTAATAGTTTTGACTTCCATTTATAACTTCCATACAACATAATTTTAAATCTTTTTAATGAGCAGCAAAAGACCTGACCAGCAGATCAAAAAGAGGGAAACATTGTAATGTATAATGTAACAGCAAGTGTTAAAACAGTTGCAAAACAAAATTTATTTTTTATGAACTTTGGTAGTAATGATAGCATTGTCCATTTTAGCAACAGATAACCATAACCATTGTCATAATATACCTTAAACTCGTGATATTTACAGGTGAAATAACATTTTCAAAAGGCACAACGTGAGCGTAAGATAAATTTGTTTTCAATCTGCAGATCAAGAACATCCACAGTAATTCGGTTCATTATGCAAAGGCAGCATTAGTAAGCAGGTCAAAGGCTCCCAAGATCGGGGCTCCTGTATCCATATATTGCTTAACAGAGATATTTCCAAATAGAATAATTTGCTGTTGTTGATTTGAGACAAAGCTGCCTTTCTTTGGAATGTCATCTTTGTTGAATTACATAGGGCCATTTCTTTCAGAACCCTTTTACTCTGGTACTTTATGTTTTGAGGGGTCCTCTTCAAATAAGTAAACCTGTTGAAGACAAAAAAAAAAACATCAAAACAGCTAATATACCAGACTCAGATACAGATGTATTGCATGGTGTCAAGAGGAGCCACAAAGACACAACAGACAAATTACATAGCAATGAACGTCAAACGCCTCAAATGTTGACTGCTGTCAAACATATAGCAGATAAAATAGACATTCTAATCTCTTTACAGAAGTTTCACTGCAGAAATTAAACAAGACTGGCAGTAATAGAAAACAACATGCTCAAGAAAAGTAGCAAATGACAGAAGAATCATACATTTCAAATTTAATTTTCATTCAACGTTTTTTTTTTTTTTAAAACAGGAACACTAATTTGGACCATAATGGATGGAAATGTAATGTTCTCATTATACAGAAATTCTAAATGCACATACGCACCTCCTTTTCCAGAATACGCTGGTAAGGAGGGTTCTGCAGCTCCTCCAGTGTCTCTGCGATGGGCCTGTTGAGAGTCTCTGGGAGAATCAGACCCAGGCATCCCGCAGAAATGCCGGTGAGGGCAAATGCCATGAAGGGCATGGACTGGTGAACACCTCTCTACCAGGGCACAGAAATCAATAGGGTGCGATAAACAGCACACACCAAAGCGTGGTTATCAGCAGGTGAAAGACAGGATGCTAGATACATACAAATATAGCACAGAATCTTTGTGAACCATTCTCTATTGTTATGTTATTCTGACTCAACAGATTATCATCTATATCCCAATAACAATTTGCACACTGTTATACAGACAGAATAAGGTCAAATTCATGGAATCCGATTAAAATTAGCATAAGTAATTATCAGAAGTTTGCACATTTCTCTAATAAAGACCACAAAGCTCAATCAAAGTGTTTATTAAGGTCATGGAAAAAAAAATTATCTATTTGTGTGTTTAATTACCATTACCGGTTATTCAGATATAGATGAAAACCAGGTGAAGTCTCAATATGCAACTGCAAGAAACTATAGCCCTCGCAACTCATTTCACCTAAAAACTTCTGAAGAACATTTTAGTTACCTTTGGGTTATTAGTTTTAATAACTGTTACAGACCATGCTCGACAGTTATCCTGTATAATAATTATGTATATTACACATACTGATTTTAAAATTTGATATTGTTATTATTATTATTATTATTATTATTTTGCTTCACATACCAGAGAAGGCACAAATGGTGCTAAAATTCCCCCCAATCGACAGGACATTGAACAGATTCCAAGTCCGGCATTTCTACACATTGTAGAAAAAATGCAAATAATTTAAATCAAATTCCATTCATCATGTAGAGAAAACAAAATTCTGCATGAAAAACCAGACAATACCAAAGTAAACCACTTATCAACAACAACCGCACACACAAGTATACATCATACACTTTATGCTGGTAAAAACCACTGCAAGCTGCACATAAAAATGCACCCACCTAACCTATATAATACCTAAATACATTTACCTGGAAAACCATTTGAGAGACAGAACACACGGTCAAATGCATCCCCACCCTCAAATCATACTAACATCACATTAAAATTTCATAAACAAGTAAAGAGGTAAATAAATGAGTAAAAATTACCTGATAATCGTAGGATACAGTTCCGATGTATAAACATAGACAATGTTGAAGGCAGCACTGACCATAAGCTTTCCTAATAAGGCTAAAGTGGTAGCATCAAACCATGACCCTGAAAAAAGGTCAATTGCTTCATTCAATTGGGAATTGGGATATCAATTAACAATTTAAAATCATTTTACAAAAAGGATGTACCTTCATGAATTGGTATCCATGTTGTCAATAAACAGGAAACTCCTGCAAAGACTAGAAAACTTGCAACCGATTTCCGTCTTCCAGCCCTTACAAACAAGAATTGTTAATGCATCTTCAAGCATCTACTTAAAATCTTTTATTTCAAAAAACATGCCTAAACTGACACGTCAAGTTTGTGGAGAGATGCTGCAGCTGACTCAAATAATAAAATATGAATGTTTACCTTCCAGAATTTTCTACTGTACATACCAACGAGTTAAATGGAAATGTCCAAATATCACACAGCATATGGAAAGAAGAATTAAGGATTAAGAATTGAGAACGTACCATTGTTTATTAATGAAGTACATACAAAGAGGGTATGCAGGTAGCTCCACCAATCCAAACATTGCTACACGAAAGTAGCGGTTCCCAGTACTTTCACTACCGTTCATTGTCAACCCGTAATACACCAGACTGCAGGCATACCTCGAACACAAATACAAAATGCCCCATTAAAAACCAAATGACAAATATTTAAACAAGTCATGGCAGTAAGTATTACAGATTCTCACAATTTGTCCAAGTATTTCAGTTTCATGATAAGCACACTGCAAAGCTGAGTCACTTTCTAGAAGGTGAAATGTTATAACAGCTTCCTTTGTTTATCATCCATATATTGCATACCCATGGAACCAGATGAGAGCCTATACCGTTTTTTGCAGCAAATTAAGTTGTGAATAAACCAGGTGGAACTCTGTAGTATATCTAATGACGTCTCTTTCTTTTCCGGTTTTGCACACAAACAATCAACAGAATCATCATACAACTCAGCTTAGTCCCTAAGCCACATAAGCACAATGACAGCAGTAATATTATTTTCACTATGCTTTTCAGGAGAAAATATTAACATTAATACATCCCTCAGCTTGTGTTTAATTATTAACTGACCTCCTTTTAATTGCATGACTTTTTGTGTTTCGTTCAAAGGGGCAGAAAATTTCTGTTAAATTTCTAGAAATTTTCCACTTTCCATGGGAAGTAGGGATGCAATGGGGTGGAAACTTTCCAGAGACTTTCAATGAGAAGTTAATCTGAGGAATTGTGGAAATATTGAAAAATTTCAGTTTATTCCTATTAATTCCCCTACATTACCGTTAATTCCCATGGAAATTTTCCAACTTAGAAGATTCCCAGAAGTTTGCAATGGACTAAGGTGCTTGCTTATTGTAGACATCTCCCTGAGGTGCCAATACACTTTTTTTGAATAAAATTACATCCATCAATGTCATAAACATTCTGGTGACACAGTGTCGCCAAATCTCCAGAACTAGGTTTCAAATCCCACCCTGTTCTGTTCTCCTTGTGTTGCGCAGATGTCCTCCTGCAGTCCAAAAATGTGCCCTGAGGCGAACTAGTGTCTCTAAATATCTTCCATGATGTGCATGTCATTGGCCTGCAACAGACTGGCATCCCCTGCCTTTTGTCCTACACTTCTGGGAGCAGGGTCCAATTTACCATGTCACCCAGTACTGGATGACTAAATATGCATAATAAACCTTAGAAGGTTACAGGGACATCTTGAAAACTTCTATAATATTTGATAGCTCATATAGAGGGGGCAGAAAATACTGCCGGTGTTTGAGGTTTACCGAGTATGTGCACCAGTACAACAAAAGCAGCTTTCATGTACTCAAAGACTGGTCCACAGCAGACAATCTTATCACAGAAGCACTTACCACACATACATTAGTACCACAGTTCTCCACCGGAGTATGGAGTGGGTCACCAGAGCCAGAACTCCAGGGCCAGTGAAAACTGGCCCACCTGGATCCATGCACCTCTTGAGCTTCACCACCACCCTATCCTTCCCATTCTGGGAGGCCATGTCCTGCAGCACCTGCTCAGCCTGCTCTGTGAGCCCCTGGGAGTACAGCCAGCGTGGGGACTCAGGTAAGGTCCTAATCAAAGAAAGCAGTGAAACTCATTCAGGTTCACATGAAGAAATAAGAACGTAGCCATCCCATCTTTAAATGAATTAATAATAATAATCATCATCATTATTATTATTATATATCATGGGAACACGTTAATACATTATTATTATTGTTGTTATAATAATAATAATAATAATAATAATAATAATAATAATAAATCAAGTAAAGTTGATCTTATTACAAGAACATATAGGAAAAAAAAACAAACTTCACATAGAAGCACCTTCATGTCCATTCTCATAATCACACTCCCCCCCCCCCCCCCCCCCCAAAACATTATTTTTTTTTAAACTATATATAATCACATAGTTATTTTTAATTCCCACATACAATGGAATATGGCAAATTTACAATGGCTAATTTTCCCATCTTTCCCCCCAATATTTCTGGTACATTTGAGCCGTTAAAGTCAGTCGAACAGGGCTTGAGTGAACACTTAAGTGAACTGGTGTCTCCAAACTGCATAAATCGTATGACTGTGAGTGATCTGTGATGAAATTGCATTCCACCCACTGTCCCTACGGAGCCCTGCTCATGATATAATGGTAAAAATGATATAAATCATGGGAACAAATTAATAAAGTGTGGCTTTGATTTCCCTAATACGAAGGAACAATTTAGTAAAACGTGGCCACGATTAAACTAAAACGAGGGAAGGAATTAATAAAACATGGATATGATTTAACTAAAACAAAGGAACAATTTAGTAAAACATGCTCACAACTTAATAAATCCTGTGAACGAATTAGTGAAACCACTGGACCCCTGAGCATGGCACTTAACCCCAACTGCTTCTGGACTCCTCCAAAATCATTTCTACTGTGTTTAAGTCAGGTGGCCAGATCGTGTGCGGCGACATTATATCACTTCCTTTGTAGGCGGCTTGATGTGTCCAAACTTTTGACTGGTACTGTACTTTAACAAAAGGTGTGTACTGCAAAGGACATTACACCTCTGAAGTTGTGTCCTTGTTCAAAAATGTCAATTTTCAAGAGTCCTTTTGATATAGATGTTTCAATGTCAATAAAAGTTGGACAGGAAAAAAAAAACTCTGCCACTGACAGAAGTAATTAATGGTGCAATAGTTGTACTTAGATCCATTTTCTAGAAAATGTATTAGAATAATCTGGAATATAGTTTGTGGCAACTATGCTAGCAGAAGGTAGCAGCTACGAACAGCGCTATTGATCGTACAGAAACTACCAAAAAAAAAAAAAAGTGTTTCACATTATTGACCACCACAGATATCACGACAAAGCTTATAACAACAAAAAACACGTAGAAAAATAGCTTTCCCTCCCAGAACTTACACACATAAAAGGAAGAAAAGCACTCCAGGAGAATTGGCTGCTGTTGCAAGACTACGCCATGGTCTTACATAATACCCAAGGGCAGCAAAGAGAGCTATTCCCACAGCAAACGTCATATTGGTGAAGGTTCCTGGAAAAAATTAAAAACAAATACTGCTTGTTACATTACTTATGTCATGTCAGTTTTATTGTAAGCTATAATACTATTTACAGGGATTCAGGAGGAAAGAAACACTTAGTGTTCAAGGTAATTCAATATTATCTTCAGGTGTGAAAAAAATTATTGCACCTTGTCAGTCAACAGATTATGTGTATATATGCTTAACTTCGGTCCTAGCTGTTAGTACAAATCTTCTACAAAAAATAGCATGGTGCAGGAAATTCCTGAATACTGCTGGATAATAGCAGTTAATGGATTAAAAAGTCATTTCTAAAACCCTGGCTCTCCACCAAACTACAATTCAGGGCTATATCAAGTTTAGGAGAGAAGTTATACGCTATATAGACAAAAGTATTATGACACCTCTTAATCATTGAATTCAGGTGTTTCATTCAGACTCATTGCCACAGGTATATAAAATCAAGCATCTAGCTGTGCAGTCAGGTTTACAAACGTTTGTGAGAGAATGGGTTGTTCTGAAGAGCTCAGTGAATTCAAGCGTGGTGCTGTCATAGGATGCCACCTTTGCAATAAGTAAGTCTGTGAAATATCTTCCCTGCTAAATATTCCATGGTGGACTGTAAGTGATATTGTTACAAAGCGGAAGCATTTAGGAACAACAGAAACTCCCAAAGTGACAGACCAAGTAAAGTAACGGGGGTGAGTGCTGAGGTGTGCAGTGCATAAATGGTATACAGTTGTTTTTCAGGAATTGGGCTAGGCCCTTTAGCTCCAGCGAAGGGAACTCTTAATGCTTCAGCATACTATGATATTTTAGGCAATTCTATGCTTCTGACTTTGTGGAAAGAGTTTGGGGAAGGCCCTTTTCTGTTGTAGCATGACTGTGCCCCAGTGCACAAAGCCAGGCCCAAAAAAGATATAGTTGGGCGAGTTTGGTGGGGAAGACTGGCCCGCACCTCAATCCCAGCACCTTTGGGATGAAGTAGAATGGAGATTGCGAGTCAGGCCTTCATGTTCAGCATCAGTGCCTGACCTCACAAATACTCTTCTGGGCAAAAATTCCCCACAAACAAACTCCAAATCCTTGTGGTAAACCTTCCTAGAAGTTTGGCAGCTGTTATAGCTGCAATGGGGGGACCAACTCCATACTGATGCCTATGGATTTAGAATGGGATGTCATAAAAGTTCCTGCAGGTATAACGGCCAGGTGTCAATACTTTTGTCCATATAGTTTATACAAAAATGTAGAAATTTGGAATATGTGGAATCTAGAAATCCACATATTTAACTGTCCCTATAATTCACTCAATCACACACAAATATTACAGAAAGTAGAAAATAAACCACCACTGTCAAAAAACAATGTTCTATAGAGATATCTGTAAATAGTGGAAATTCTAAAATGAAAAACAGGATTAAATTCCTCCAGAGCATCAGCAAATAATCTGATGGCAGATGTTTGCTAAAGATAGCATAACCAGTTAAAGAGGGTATTTTGAACTTATGCAGTTATTTTCATCTTGAAATACACATAGGCAAATTCTATTAAATATTTACACATTAATTTTCACATTATTAATTAGAAAGTTGTTTAAATAGAATACTTATTGTTATTGTAAACAGAATGTACAATTAAATCTATGCATGCAATTCACTAAACAGACAACATTGAAAAAAAAAGTGCCAAGAAATAAAACTGACATCAAGGAGGTCAATGGCACAAACTGTTACATTTTACCTGTCAATGCCCAGTACGACTTCCCCACATACTCCTGGGTCAGCACAAAACACACCAAGCCCATGCCACCATTCATTATGCCCACCAGAAGGCGCGATACTGCGAACACTTCATAACTGGGTGCGAATGCAGTGACATAACCAAACAGCACCTCAAAAAACAAACCTAAGACAAGGACATAAGCACATATCAATGCTACGGAATTCCGTACAATGCAATACGTTTTCCGTACAATGCAGAGCATATTCATTAGTTTGTTTTAAGCACTGCATGAACTTTCACACACTTTTTCTGAAGACTATTTAATTAGTCACCAGGCAGTTAATCCGAGTACTTTGCACAGATAAATTATTCGATTTTAAAATTTGTGCATTTTTTCTGATTACTTCCAACCCACATACCACTAAATTAGCTCATGAGACTTTTTCATAAATCATTTTTCGACTAACCTCAATGCAAAGACTATCTCTTCAGTGTAACAAGCAAACTGGGTAAACACAAGCTAGCATTTATTGTTCAGTGGATAATCTGTGACCTCATACCTATAAGAAACACCGGTCTCCTTCCAATCCTGTCAGAAAGTGGTCCAAAAAAGACATTGCCGATTAAAACGCCGGCAAAAAACAAAGAGCCAGCCAGGTTCACCTTGTAAGCTTGATGCTTAACCAGGAACCACTGTAAAATAAAGTTAAATAAATACACAATTAAAAGGTATGGTCATAAAATCTGTCAACAGTTTTGTGCTGTATTTACACATCAAAATTGTAATGAAGTTTTAAGCCATAGGATGGAAGCACCGTTTTACTCTTCGTAAGTTTTCTTTAACAGAAACTCTAAAAATATCGTTATAAAAGGTTAACATAAGAAAGTTTTCTGCTAAAGGTCAAAATCGAAGGGGTTGGATTGAGTATCAAATTATAGACAGATAACTGTTCCCACCTCTGTCACGATAGAACTGATGTCTTCAGTGAATGTAACATGTTTTATTAGATCATCTTCACTTGTCAGGTCGGAACCTTTTTCAATACGGTAATTTGGTACAGCTCCAACCAGCACTATAAGCATCGACTGGCATGCCATATAAATCTAAGGAACGAAAACGAAAAAGCTGAGCGAAGGATAACAGCTATATAACTATGCAAACAGATCGCTTATTCCCACCGTACACGTGAATTCTTCATAGGACTGCTACCTCGCTATTTACCCGGATAAGATTTGTTAGTTTGACTAATCCACTTAACTTAGCTTTGATTTTTCAAAACTCCGTAACGTTATCTAACGTGTTTTTATCTAATAGCAAGGTACAGACTTTGACAAATCAACAGTGCAATACGTTTTCCGTACTAATACACGTTATCAAAAAGATCTCATCAGTTGCGTAACTGGTTAGCAAGCTGTACTGAAAACATATCGTGAACCGCAAACGATGACAAAAACAGAAAAAACGGATAATTGACAGTCTCAAACTAGCTATTTTAGATAGAGAATCATTAGACACACTGAATAACGGCCTTCGCCGTTAGATTTCTACAACTGACATCAGAAGATAATACAAGATAATTCAACTAGCTCGTTAATTCAACGTAAATTAAAACAAGTTAACACCTGTAGTAAAATTAAAATAGTGACCATCCGTTTCTGGTGTATGCCAAATTCTCCTACTAATTGAAACGCCGCTTCTAAATCCATTCCAAATCGAAAACAAACCACCACGTAACATAACAACGACGAATAAACATTGACACGCGCGCGACACTACGTCACAGCGGTGCGCGGAAATGGGTGGGGGTCACGTGATAGAGCGGAACCCTATTGGTCAGAATGGAGAGCAACTGGAAAGTTCAGTGCAAGTCCTGAACACATATACGTGTTGCTAAAGTACTGGTATTTGAAAATGATCATTCATAGACGTTGAGGAATGAGATGTCTTTTAGTCATAAATTAAAAGGCAAAGGGAAATGCTGAGTTTATCAACTTTTTTTTGAAAATTAGCTATTAAGGACCACAAGTATCGGGCTATACATTTTTACAAGAAAAAAAAAATCAGATTTCCCTTTCACAGATTACATTCTTTATAAATTTTGGCACCTCGTCAGTTCAGCTGTTTAGTCTTTACTGCTTTTGGGGTGGTAAGTGCTGTCTCTTGGATCAGGGATCGTCAACAACTTGTCTTTACAAGAACAAACGTGTCCGTGGCAATACTTGTCTGTGTACGTGGTAAAAAAAAAAAAAAAGGAAAAGAAAAAAAAAAACTATGTAGGTTACGTTTTAGAATACCATGTACATGGTAAAAAAAAAAAGGCATTTTGGTCACAAAGTCTGTCCGAATTTTCCATCGTGTTAACCACTGACTTGGAGGCAACAGGAACAAGGAAAAGATGCTGCTAATTCAGGAGAACATGCACAAACACAAAATAGCATTAATAATAAAAAAAAGAAATTAACTTGTTTGTAGGATTTGAATAGAGCATTGAGAGGACATGCTACCATTTACATTTAATTGATGTGCACCAAAAAAGCATATAAAGCTATAGTAATAAATTTTACTATAATTATAATTATAGTATAATTATATCTTAGGAATCCAATCGAAACAACAGCCAACACAAATTTAAAAAAAAAAAAAATCATTGGCATTTTGTTCTGATCTATTTGGTTATTGATGTCTGGAGTGCAGAACGTTCAAGTTTATGAGATACAGCTATTACATGCCAGACAAAATAAAGTCTGAATAACATCAAGACAAAAAAACATACTGGATGTATGGAGTACAAGATGTAGTATATATTGGAAATACAAAAGTTTAAGGCCCGATAATTTGTAAAATTTAACAAATACATACAAAGTATGTTTCCACTGTTAAACATGTATTCAATAACTATTAACATCAAAAAGTTATGTTAAAACCATTTAAAATTCAGTGGCAGATTTTCATATTTCATAGTTGACGGAGTTCAGAGCAGGTCTTCGTTTCGTTTTGATTTTCAAAGATCCGTATCGGGGCTATAGAACAGAAAGAGAAAGTTTTAAACAGTTTTCCTCTCACAAACATTTCTACTCAGATGCCTGCGTAATAGTGCACTCACTGAAACAAAATAATACTTGTGAAATTGATTAATTTTTTTCAAAAAAAATTTCAAACTTACGTCCTTGCGCACTTTTGGTCTTGTGCTTTTGACACTCTGTGATCTTCTTAGACTGCGCTGGCCGATGGGCTCTTCATCAGAAAAGAAAGCTTCAGTAGTTTCATCAGTCTTCTCAGTTGGTTCATACAGACAGTAGTCTGAAAATATAAATTTAATTACTTTTTGCCCTGTGTTTTTACATGGCAATCAACACTGCCAAATAATGCACAATACATTCCTGTCCCTGCTTCCATCTATCTTCCAACCACCTATCCAGTACATGGTCAGGGTGAGTGTTTCACAAGTGCAAACCTACTGTAAGACAATCAAGGATCTTAACATATTCCGCATGGTGGACTGGTCTAAGATTCCTCTTTAAGCATGTAGGTTTGGGGAAGGTTTAAAAGTTCAAAAATAAATAACCAATTATATGAACACCCACAAAACTAGCCACAGCCCACAAGAAGGTATTCAGTCACCAGTTTATCAGTGATGCTTTGGTTGTACAGTTAATATTTGGAAGCTGTGTTGAAATGGTCAAAATACTCTACTCAAAGAATTCCACTGAGAACCCATTCAGAGTTCCAAATAAAATAATTCACACCTTAAATACAATCATATTATCTACAGTAGTAGACATTCAGTTCCAGTATTTCCCAATTTTGCCTTTCTAACAAAAATCAGACAGCTGTAATAAAAATATTCTTTATTTTGATTCAGAATTACAAACAAAGCAAACGTATCAAGAATATGCTATTTGGATTAACTACTACTGTGGTGTTTAATAACATATTTCATTATAGAATGAAAGCCATCAAAAATACACTTTTACTAGAATATGATACACTTACCTGGGCTGTTATAACCTTGACTTTTGCCTTTTTCTCCAGAAATAGAGATTCTCAAATATGCTTGACTGCTATCTTCATCACCTGGAATTTGTGTTAGATCGTGAACGCTGAAGCTCCTCAGTCGCTCAGCTATAGCTCCCTGACCCTACAGAGACAGAATCAGACAAATAGGTCAAATTAGCAAAAAACATTTCACTCCCAAAGAACGTCAGAAAGTCTCTGATGTTTGTGAAGGCCTACATTTAAGCTTCTAATTTATACAAAGCAGGATGAGAAATGTCTGTGTGAACATTCAAATAAGCACCCAGGAACTTTTATATATATATTATCAGAAATGTAGGGATATATATATTACTGGAAAGCTAAATTACTGGAAATTTGGACGAAAATGTAACAAAATGTCTTGTTTTGCATAACACAATTTTAAAATATCACCAAGATTCATGTTTGAAACTGTTCACATTCACAATTCAAATGCTTATATTGCACAGTGAGACCAATAAAGTGCCATTTACGACCCAAAACAAACTGATTCCGATGAGGCATTCAGCATATCCAAAGGTGGAACATCTGTAACTCAGCAGATCGAAGCTGCTTTCCTGCTACTGCCAACACCCATCTTATGTCTTTGAGGGGCTAAAAACATCGAACAGTCTCCCAGCTGACGTACGAGTATCACTACGTTCCTGCTACAAACGAATCTGCCACAAACAATCTGCATTTAATGCCACAACAATATAAAATCAAATACTGCATACAGATGAAACTTCTCTAGATACAAACGTGACTTTTGGGGCCAGACACAAATGGTTTTTTTGTAGAGAATGCTAAATGCTATTTCCGTACCTTGAGTGTAAGGAAACTGACGCAAGTTGTGCAGTGTTCATATGGGGGGTAGTATTTTATTTCAGAAATGAATGGAAAACGAAAGCAACAAAATTAAGAACAACAGAAGATGAGGAGAAAAGGTGGTTTCTTCCTGGAAAGGGAAAGAATGATTCCTTCCATCTCCTGCTTCGTCATTTAACAAAAATTTTGTGTCAAAAGAGCACTTACTACATATGCTTAAATATCAAACTACATTTTGAAGAGGAGTTCATATAAGAAATAAAAATTAATTAATATGAAAAAATTGAACCTGTAAGACGTGTATATTATAAAAGTTTACATGAAACACACTTTGAAATACCAATGTGCTGAAAGACAGAAAACACAGGGGAAAAAATGTAGTATATCCTATAGCAGGGGTCTCCAACTCAGGTCCTGCAGAGCTACTGTCCAGTAGGTTTTCAATCCTACCTGGCTTCTGATGAGCCACACCTGTTCTCAGGTAAATACCAGGGCCAGATGTGGCTCATCAGAAGCCAAGTAGGATAAAAAACCTACTGGATGGTAGCTCTCCAGGACCGGAGTTGGAGACCCCTGTCCTATCATGTAATGGTAGTATGACTGCACCTCATATAGCAACAAACACACCACCATAAGAACTCGCCTTGGCAGCTGCTGAGATTGCCGCTGTTGCCGCTATAGTAAGGCCTTGCTTGCCAAAGTTCACCATGGTTTCATAGCTCCGCTCTTTTGCTTGAACAAGGTAATCATCAATTTCCTAAGAGAAAAATAAGTGCACAATGAATGTTTTTTGCCATGCGCCTTTCCAAACTGGTTACAGTGAGGAGGAGAAATGTTGGGACGATGAAGCAAATTTTATTGTGATATATTCATAAACTTTGTATTTCAGAAGATGGAAATCAGTACATCATGTCCGCTTTCCTGTGTAATGTTTTTATACATCCTACACAGTGCATGAAGAATGGCGCTGGTTGTTTGGACCTCTTAGTTTCAGCTGAACATTAGTATTGGGACAAAATAATTAACAGATTTTAATTTGTATGTAACCCACCGACATCACCAGCCCTGACTTCTTACTTTAAGATATTCTACTAAGCATTAAGGGTAGCTTTTCTCAGTAGTTGCTTGTTTTGAGGGTGGTCTAACTACAATTTACTGTTCATCAAATGAAACGCACACTCAGCTGGATTTGGACAAGGAGGCTGACTTTTCATCTGTACGATGAACCCCCTGGTTAACTGTGCAGTGCGCTTTGGGCTGCAGTCTTTGCTGCATTTTGAAGTTTAACCCAGTGATCCGAGTTATCTGAGGATGAGATGACACATTCCAAAGGCAAACTCCAATGGCTACTGCCATGCCTTCAAATTCCCAGCTGTTTTATGTGGGCACAGGAACGCTTTGTAATTAGAAATATCTGTCACTCTTTTGTCCCAATGCTTCTGCTGAGCAAGCTGAAGACACTTTACACATGAATATGCAAAAATTTTCTTTAACTGCCACAATATTTATCATTCTGACTGTAACCGTATTTGCTGAAGTGCTGTCATACCCTTTCTCTTGAAGACAAAAGAGGATGCAAAAACTTCCTGTAGATAAGATTTGCACCTTTTGTGTATGGCGAGAGCAACCAAATCACGAAGGCAATTTTTATTTCATAATACAGGGGAAACCTGCAAAAAAAAAACCCACAATGATAACATAACCATCATTGAAGCTAATTAATAAAGCAAAAAATCTGCACAAGTAGATTAAATCACAACCTAGTCTTACCAAGATAAGGAAAAATCTGCTGCAGTTTCAACTACTGTATAGAGTGCAAAGACAATCCAGTACATCATCCAACGAACCTAAGGACATGGGAACAGGGCCAAGACATCAGAAAGAGGAGGAAATCATTGTTAGCTACTCAGCAGACTCAAATATAATAGAAATCGCATATTGACAAAAAACATGATTTACAACATATTGTCTCTCCAAACAATTCATATTGTTTGAAAAAATAAGGTTAATTTGCCAGTAGAATTAACATACATTCTAATACTTTAAATTTCATGAAACAACAGAAAAGTATTCAACAATGGCAAAAAAAACCCACTTTATTCTTCCAGGTTGACTAGATATTAATAATCTGGAGGTCTGTATTTTATTAAATGCTTAAGAGATACTTTGGCATAAGTCTTGAATATATACAGCCACTTATTCTGGGCAGCTTGAAAGTGAAATTTCTACAAAGACAAAAATTTAGTCAACACTATTGCTAGCCAGGGGTTTCCGATTCACATCATTTTATATTAGTGTAACCGTATTTACTGTGCACATAATTAAAATAATCCAAAAAAATTAAGTGTATGTCACTGATTTATGTTATATTATTATTATGCTTTGCAGTAATTTTATTGAGGTTAATGTATATTTATTTTACATTACAATGTTATGTTGAATGATCAGATTTAATAATTTATTTTATTTTATTTGTAATCAGTTACAGCACTTTATTATTTCGGTTATATTTACATGTGTTACATTTAGGTTCAGTATGTTCCCTTGGTTAACCGTTTTAACCGGTTCAGAGGGGGAACGGTAGAGAGCGGCTGGAAAAAGAAGTTGGAAAGTGCTGTTTTGCCGTGTTGGTGATTATTAAATGCAGTTGTGGAACAAACTTTAGCCCGCTTACTACCCACAGCCCGAGAGGGAGACTGGCACATGCGACCCACTCATCCAGAACCCAGGGTTACACTAGTTATAATATATCCATGTTCCACCCACATATTCAGAACACAGTTCTGTGGAGTAGTATTTGTCATAATAGATAAATTATTCTTCATCATATCATATATACTCACATATTCTTTCACATTCTTGGATTTGACTGCTTTATAGGAGTAGTACGCAGGGTACAAGGTCCCAAAGACAAGCCTATGATTAAGAGAACACACAATATGAACTGTATTCGTTTTAAAAGGAAAGATGATACATTTTATTCATCTTGAAAACAAATGAAGAAATTAAAGCAGTATCAAATATTGAAGAACATTGGAAGTATGAATACAAAATACAGATAAATCAGGTTTTACACTACTACTACTACATTACTACTACACTACTAATCAGCATTTTTTACTTTCATTAGTATAACAGCATGCAGGAGGGTTACAGGTCACCACCGCTCTCTTCCCTGCCCCCTCGTGTCACATCTTACTATTTCTGTGGTAAAGGAAATTTCGGAAGTAAAGCGCCTGTTAATGTGCGGTTAATAATTGTATTTCCAGAACAGTGCATCGTGGCACAGTCCTCCCTCAATATCCATCATCATTACACCAGCCAATATTTACAGTACAAGCACAACGTAATTACTACTATATTATAAAGACACTGAAATACATTAAAAGACACACACTTAATAAAGTAGGTAATATACAGAACAAAAATTTAAATCTATGGATATTACAATAATCATTTTCCAAGAAGTTTTCATCATTCATTTTCTTAGAAAAAGTGTGAATGGGTGGCTGTTTTGGGGACAATGGATAGCCATTAAAGACAGTTGATGACACCATGCATTGTCCCATTTTCACAATGATAGCTTCTTTTCTGTGTTTGCCCCACAAAGGATCTTTTTTTTGTAAAATCAGCCTGTAAAGCAAATGTCAGGTGGTACATAACAATGCACTCTTCAGATGCTGACCAGATAAATTCTAAAAAGTACTGCAAACAAACATCCCTCCATCCCTATCACATTTCTATGGCAACTAATAACAACTAAATAATAATAATTCTTGTTTTTAACACCTGGGCCTTAAATACAGCATTTGTTGGTCATATTCTAAAAACAGGATAAGTATTCTACTCTTAACCCTCAAACTGTCAACAAATTATTAATTGGCATGTTGTTATCAATTGTGTTGTAATGTATTGCAAATGATGTCATCACCAAATATCATGCTTGTCTGCTGCATATGCAACTAGTTTACAAATAAAAAGTCAGGAAATTATGTTCCATTATGTGGAGACATTCTCCCTCTTCATTTGCATAAATATAAATGTGTTACATAATTTAACATCCTATTGTCAATGTACTAAATTAATGCACAAAAAGAACAATGGATTTGACCATTAAGAACAGAACTTAAGCAACCATCTCTAAACAGAATAGACATTTTCCTGGTATCTGTTTATTAATTGATATATACCTTCATAAAATCAAAAAAGCTGAAGAAGCCAAAAACAATTAAAAAGTATTTAGCACAAATAATTGACAAAATATTAGCTTTTGACCTATTATAACTCAACGTGTAAAATGCATTTGTGCTGCCAGAACATTCTGCGCTCATGACATGCACTTATGCACAACTGCCCAATAAATAAACAGAGAAATCTTTGCAAAGCAGAACACTTGATAATTAGGTTTACACTGACTGGTATTACAGGATCTACAATACCATAATGACAAGCCAGCCTTGGCTAGCACCTGTGTAATTCCTGATGAAAAGTTGTACAATTTTAAAACAGATAACACTATTTACAATTTTAAGTACATCTCACCGAAGTACCAGCATATTTCAATGGTTCTCTAAGTGCATCTCAGTATCATTCTAAATGCAACTTAATAACGGTTAGGCACATGACTGTTATACAATGTTTCTACAACGTTTTCTTTACAACGTTTACTTAGAATATGTTAGAAATGCTCTATTTAAAGGGACACTGAAACAGTTCTATAACCCTGCTATTTTTATACCATAGGGAAAATGCATGCAAGGTATGGAAAATGCTCATCGTTTCGACAGGAAGAGGTCTGGAATCATATTAAAAAGTAAAACCGTCAGCTTTTACACACAGGTAATCCAGACCAGGCTGAACATAAGAAATCCGAACAGAGATTAAATACAATGGGAAAATGGACAGTTTGGGTAAAACACCTATCTAGTTATTCATCAAGACCGCCCTGTTTTTCAGGCAATTAACAACTGGACTACGATACACTAATTCCCTAATGGTTTTACTTATTTGGAAGATAAATAGTTGGTTACGGCTCTGAGAAGTTTATAGTTACACATCGAGAATTTAGTTACGATGGAGACAGTTGTAAAAGTTAGTCACCTACTTACTTTTACTATGTAAAGCTCGCGTTAATGTACATTTTTAAAAGTTCACTTACACAACAGCTCTAGAGAGGATCCAGGAGACCATCTTTTTAAAAAGAAATCAGGCCCACAACGCGAAAAAAGAGAACAAAAATTACAGGAAAACACCTTCGCACTGCCGGCTCGCCATTTATATCGCTGCTTACGCTACTTTAAAAAGGAAAAACAAAGATAAAGCAGCCGTCTCTATATACGTATATTTTTATAAAGTATGTCTGACCACTCTGGCGTATTTACCACTTCTTTCGCCATTCCCAGGTTTCCTCTCATTCACACCCCTCTATACTGCCACCTTTCGTTTCGTAATACAACCTCGTCGCCTACGGGAACGTCAAATTGTCTCCGAAGAGACACCGGGAAACAGAAGTAGCCCGTTCTTTCGGACATGCTACATGCTTTGTTGATGCAATTTGCGCTAGAATACTATTTTTAACTGAATAGATACAATGTGATGAATCCTTTTCCCCCAATAATAAGTTGCACTTGAAGTTATTTGGTATTTTTGTGCAATTTCCCGTTCCATCTGTAGTAGCATTATCTATTACTAATCATCTGAAACATTTTTGTTAGATATCACACTACCAAATTAAGTCATAAAGCGAATGAGGCCATTCCCTGTGCCGACTATTCTAAAAAGGTCATGCATGTGTGTGAAGTGAGAGGAAAAAATGTTAAATTGGAGCAGAGATTTATTGGGTTTTGTGTTTGTTTGTTTGTAGGTTTTAACTGGTATTCATTGCATTGTTGGATTTGACCTTTCTGCATTCTCCAGATTGTAATTTCAGTGATACAGTTACTGCACAGTTCCCCCAAAAGAGCTGTCCATAGCGTAATAAACATAATTCAAAACCATTGTGATGGTGTCAAAATAATATGTGTGTATATGTGTAACTGAATTTATAGTGTAAGCACAAGTATCCCGTTATCAGAACTGTCATTTGAGAGATTTTATTTCTGATTTGTGTGTTTTGTGCGAGATCCTGCTACACAGAGGCAAATCTGGAGTACCAAATTTGGCATTGGCTAACCTGGATCAGTATACCTCAGACAATGCTGAACTGCAGATGAAAACTTCTGCCTGATGATTGCAATATGACACTTGACCTACACCACAGAACCGTCAGATCGCTGTGTTGCTACCTCCAACAGCACCCATGCATCGACGAGCTGACACACAAATGATACTTCCAAGACGAAGACACAGAAGTAGTAAAATGAGACACCAAAAATTCATAGGGGATAAACATGTATAACAGTGTGAAAGGCAATGAGCAGCATGATTGTAATCAGTGTGGGTTATTCAAAAATGAAATTTTACACATACAAAGTATTCATAATCAAAATTAATTTTTCCAATAATAATAATAATATAAACCAGCACAACATGCTGATTTGAAACTCTTTACTGAAAAAACTCAGCAAGGCAAAAAAAATGGCATTTATACCACTTCAAATGACAATTCTTGCAATAATAGCAATACAATCAAGGACATTTTATACAAATAAGGAGAAATTGTAAGAAAGAAAAAGATTACCTAGGATGACAAATACATTAATTATAAAACAAAGAAACTGATGCTCATGCATGTATAAACCTAATTACAAAAGCATATTCACATTGTGCTTCCTTGACACAACATAATCACAGCCCCTATACTTGTATGCTTATTTTTAATCACATCTCTGAAATGTGCCCATGACCGAAATAAAATTATTGCAAGACATAAAACAAACAATTGTTATCACTTCTGACAGTCAACACTAAATTGCACGATCATGGCTAAATATATAAACAATTTACATTACACATATATACACACATATGCACACTGCACTTCAAATGCAACATGCTAGTTATACTAGATTTTACATCACCTCAAGTTTATTGAAGTAAATACTTGGATAATCTGAAAAATACCCAATAAATGATGTGAAATCCTATTGCGTACACACACCTACAAAATTAAAGCCAAGACAATTTGCCTCAATTTTGAAAAAAATAAAATAAGGCTCGATTTGGGAATTCTGACCAAAGACATTGACTAAAGCCTTCACATCCTTTGAAAGTTTCAACTAGAACATGTTGTGCAGTTTATGTCATTGCTCTAATTTTATTTTTTACTTAAGGCACACCTTCCCAGAGTAAAAAAGATTTACAAGTGACAAGTGTTCTCTTAACACAAGAATTACAGCAAACTTCGTTTCATGTAAATACTGTAGAGGAAAAAATGACCTTAAAATTCCATTGTGCGAAAAATCACAACCATTTTTCCCAATCGGATAAACAATCCAAAAGGACACATTGCGATAGACTGTTCGGCACAAACCAAAATGCCTTACAAAATGTTTCAGCACAAATCAAACAGGTTGCATAAAAACCTTAAAAGTCATTTTAATAAATAATTAACTAAATGAGAAAGACTGACAAAAATTGTGGGTGCCACCCAATACATCACAATTTTGATTAACACAAACATCTGCAAAACAATTAACTTGTTTTGATTTTAAGAAATCCAAATTATTTCATTCCAAAAGCTGCAACATTTTCACTCAGTTCTCAGAATAGCAAGAAAATATATTACTTGATGTACATTAATTTTTTACAAATAAATTAGTACAGCAGGGTTATAATTTCAAGCCTTTTTAGAGAAAATCCATAAGATCAGATTCCACAAGTTAACAAGGCATGCCTAAGTGCATCATCAGATAGTAAAATTATGAAAAAAAAATGCAGGCAGATAAAGTTGAAACTGAGTTAAAACAGGAGCACAGAAATAAATATGTAAAACATTTTATTTATTAGCAATGGATTATCCTGAGTGTCCCTCTGTAGTTCCAGTAGACATACTGATTAACGATTCACTTCCATGATTTTACTTCAAAGCGAAACCTCCGGGCCGGGGTAAGATTCACCACCACACCAGAAATCTGTAGGCTGTGGAATCTCAAGCAGCCACAGTTCTTTGGGTTCCTGGGACTCTGGTTTTTTGACAGCAGTGTCAGACATGGGCTGGACAACTTTGTAATAGTGGCAGTCCCTTCCATTATCTGGATCATACGGGGGTGCCAGAATATCGAGAAAAGCAGTTGGTCCGTCCACAGCATCGACCTGGTGAAGGTTGTCTTTATGGGGAGCCAGGACGCATGCTGCACTTTCTTCAGTGTATTCTCCAACTGACCGAAACACTGCTCTCTTCAAGGAGTCCTTCTGAAAGGGTAACAGCGGTGGACTAGGCTGTGTGCTGCATGCAGCATCAACGGGACTGTCCGATTTATCGAAACAAGTAATTCTGACCTTGCCGTAAATTACTTTGAGCATGCCGTTCATTCCGGGGTGGTCGTGCAGCGGGATAGATGCCCCGGTCTTCAGCAGAAACACCCCCATGCTGAATACGTCGGTCTCACATATATGCATATAAGTCACCGGTGGGGTATGTGGTGCAGACATTGCAGAACTTTCAGCCTTTCTTGGTGTGATCTTCAGATCCGCCGCTCTGACTTCATTCATGAGGCCGTAAAGCTTACCATGGTTTTCCAAAAATGACTTGCTACTGTCCCCGACTGATGGTGGATTTTTGAATGTCACAAGAGCTTGCCTGGCGATCCTTTGTACAAGCGAAGTCATGTTGTCCCGTGGCATACTGTGGCAATTTAGCTTACTACGAAGCAGTTACCTGCACCGATGCAAGTTTTCACAAGCAAATCCTTATAAGCAAGAGGCTTCGGATTTTTTTTTACCTTGTGATATTCACTTCAAAACCCTCTCAAACGTTTTACAAAATTACAATCACTAAACTTCGCAGCGATCTGCGTCCTCCGCTACATACAAGCTATTGACTTCCACGCTTCCAGTCATGCCCCTACCCCATTCATGGACATCTGATTCACACGTACGCACCCATAGCGCTTACGTACATTACACTTTGCATTATGGGATATGAATTTTCTTAAATTGTCTATATCGATAAATGAACAAAGTTAATCAATAAAGTGACATCCTTTAATGAAAGATATGATGGTAAATTAATTCTTAACAGGTATATTCAAAAATGATTGCTTACATTAACCGTTTACTGTCTCCCTTCATGTGCATTAAATGCTAAGCAACTACAATACCCAAGTGTGTCTAAATTAATGCAAATAGCGAAGAAACCGTTCGGTGATCGACATTATTTTCTTCTTCACGTGGAGGTCTGTCTGTTTGTTATTGCCGCAGGGCAATGCTGTCTTAAATATGTTAAACGTAAAATCTTAAAAACATACATTTCTATAACCTTATGAATATTAACTTCTAAACTGCATAAATAAGCACATTTAAAACTATGTCATTCGATATGTGTTGGTCAAACGTATGTGTATATTCACCATGCACATTAAAACATTAACTGAAATCACACGTCAAAGAACTATTTAATTGAAAACACATTTGCATAGGAAACATTTGTATAGGCCTCAACAGAGAACATAAATTAATATAAATTGACAATAAAATGACTCAATGAAATAAACAGAACAATATATACTGCAGATAAAATTTTATGTTATGATCAGTTATGAAAATGCTATTGTACTTAATCTATTTAAATAAAAATATAATATAGCATGAATGACACCAAGTGGTGATTTTGAAGTATTGAATTTTTAACTTTATTTCCACTGATTTAAAACAAAAAAATAAAAATTTCACGACCATATTTATAATTTATGATGTTTAGTGGTATTCTATAAGCTTATTTTATTTCATGCAAACTTTTGTATTAAGGAAATAATTGATATAAAATTAAGTATAATTAAATTAAAAACTCAAACCTGTTTAACACATTTCCCACAAAAGAATCATATAGCGATTTTCCATAGTAAAACCAGTGAAGGCCTAGCGTTTGACCCCAGGCTTTTGCCTATTTATGACATGATACAGGTCTCACGGTTCAGAATTATGTCATTGCATCTGTTGCTTTTTAAGACTCAGTATTTCACAAATTTACTGGATGTTCAAACACACACACAACAATGATGCAATGATGCTCCACAATGATTTTATGTACAAAATTAGAAAGTTTTTCATCCTTCAAGTGGTTACATCATACTTTAAGTGGTTGTACACATAGCCTCAAAGGAGGTTGGACAATGAAACTGAAGCACCTGGTTTTAGACCATAATAATTTATTAGTATGGTGTTTGGGCCTCCTTCTGTGGCCAGTACAGCATCAGTTCATTATGAGAATGACAGGTAGAAGTCCTGCACAGCCGCCAGAGGGATTTTGAGCCATTCCTCTTGCAGAACAGTGGCCAGTTTGCTGCGTGATGCTGGTGGAGGAAAATGTTTCCTGACTTGCTCCTCCAAAACACCTCAAAGTGGCTCAATGATTTTCAAATCTGGTGCAGAATGTGGGAGATGTTCAACTTCACTTTCATCAAACTACTGTCACCAGCCTTGCTGTGTGTATTGGTGCATTATCATCTTGATGCAGGGCACTACCTTCATGGTACAGTGTTTGAACCACTGGATGAACATGGTCCTCCAGAATGGTTCAGTAGTCCTTGGCTGTGAACAAGCAGTGGGCCTAGGGAATGCCGTGACGTTGCAGCCCAAACCATCACTGATCCACCCATGTGTTGCAATCTAGGTACTTAACAGTCCAGGTTGTAAGCCTCTTTGGGGCTTCTTCACACTGTAACTCTCCTGGATGTGGGAAAGACAGTGAAGGTGGATATTTGCATTGCTGGCACTATTGAAACTGATGTTTGGCATTGGCACGAGTGACCAAAGGTTTGGCTGTAGCAGCTCGACCATGAATATTGACCCTGTGGAGCTCCCAATGGGTAGTTTTGGTGGAAACTGGAGAGTCGAAGTGCACAATTGATTCTGCAGTGAGTTGGGAGCTGTGGTTTTATTTCTTTTTGGATATAATCTGGGTTAGTACCCGGACCTCCCTTTCAGACAGCTTCCTCTTACATCCACAGTTACTCCTGCTGGATGTGGTCCGTCCTTCGTGGTGGAATACTGACATTACCCTGGATACCAAGGCTCTCGATATACCACAAAGACTTGCTGTCCTGGTCACAGATGCACCAGTGAGATGCGCACCAACAATTTATCCTCTTTTGAACTCTGATGTCTCCCATGTTGTTTGGATTGCAATATTTTATGTATAACTGTGCTAAATGAGTTTTAATAGTAAATAGAGCTAAATAAATAGGAAGTAATCGTTGAGAAAGTTAGAAATAATCATTTTCAAAATAAAATAATAATGGTGTTCATCTAATTTTGCATTTGTCAAAGAATCCTCCATTTGCAGCAATTACAGCTTCTTCCCTAAATAGTTCTTGCATAGTTTGGAACTGTGTTTGGGTCATTGTCCTGTTGTAGGATGAAATTGCCTCCAATCAAGCCCCATCCACAGGGTATGGCATGGCGTTGCAAAATGAAGTGAGCCTTCCTTCTCCAAGATCCCATTTACCCAGTACAAATCTCCCACTTTACCATCACCAAAGCAGCCCCAGACCATCACACTGCCTCCACCTGGCTTGACAGATGTTGTCCAGCACTGCTCCAGTGTCTATATTTGACCTGCATCTCACAAAAGTTATTCTTTGTGATCCAAACACCTCATACTTTTATTCAGAAATCCAACAACACTTTTTTTTCCCAGTCTTCCTCTGTCCAGTGTCTGTGTTCATTTGCCCATTTCTGTCTTTTCTTTTTATTGGCCATTCTGAGATACAGTTTTCTCTTTGCAATTCTGCCTAGACGGTCAGCATCCCGGAGTTGCCTCTTCACTGTTGACGTTGAGACTGGTCTTTTACGGGCACTAATGAAGCTGCCATTTGAAGACCTATGTGGCATCTGTTTCTAAAACTACGCACTTTAATATATTTGTCCTCTCACTCAGTTAGGCACCAGGGCCTCCCTCTCCTCATCCTGTTGTGGATAGAGCCAGTTTGCGCTGCTCTGTGAAGGGAGTAGTACACAGCATTGTACAAGATCTTCAGTTTCCCAGCAATTTTTCACATGGAATAGCTTTCATTTCTCAGAACAAGAATAGACTGATGAGCTTCAGAAGAAAGTTCTTTGTTTCTCATCATTTTGAGCGTATAATCAAACCCACTGCTGCTGATGTTCCAGATACTCAACTAGTCCAAAGAAGGCCAGTTTTATTGCTTCTTTAATCTGTATTAACATAATTGCAAAAGGGTTTTCTAATGATAATTAACCTTTTAAAATGATAAACTTGCATTAGCAAACACAACATTCCACTGGAACACACGACTAATTGTTGCTGATAATGGGCCTCTGTACGCCTATGTAGATATTCCATTAAAAACAGCTGTTTCCAGTTATGATGGTCATTTACAAGATTAACAATGTCTACACGCTATTTCTAATCAATTTGATGTTATTTTAATGGACAAAAAACGTGCTTTTCTCTCTCTCTCACACACACAAACACACGGGGTACGACTGAAAGTGAGTTGATTTAAAAAAACAAGACGACAACGAGGGTAAAAGATTTAATTTCATTAAACATATTTCCAGCTGTTAAGTTATTCTGGGTTCTATTTTCCAACCATTTAAAACGAATCTTATGGTTGATTTTCATTTTTGACGTTGAATAATTAAATAATAAAATCTAATTTTTAGTGATTTACCATGATACATGACCAGCATTTCATTGATTCTTTTAATATTGAACATGATCAGTCCTTTCGGATGCCAGTCCAACACGAATGGAATTGCAAGACGACCTGCATTCGGTGATCTCAATGCAGGTTAAACGAATTGAAAACTCAATTGTCCAGTATTACAAATGACATACTGAATTTATAGCTATAGGCATACTTATAATTGTAATCAAGTATTGTTTGTTTAAAGCAGCAAAAATTGTTATTTTTGGTTAATTCGCCGACATTATATTTAACCAGATATTCAAAATACTTTGTTTCCTTGTTTATTATAACTATAGCTACCTACGAGTACAGAAACAATGTTGAAAAGTAGTATAAAACAATATTATACAATTCAAGTGTTACATTCTAGCAACTTGTTCCGTATTACACAAATAAGCTAATCGAACGAAACCACTTCGTCACAGATGGGGATAGCCGTAAATATACAGGTATCTAAAATCTTTTCAGCGACAAATATTAGGAGATGATATTTCAGATCAACTAAATACTTCTTATGCATCAGCTTTATGTCGAAAAATCGCGTGCATGTTGCCGTAATACCTGGTAAATTTAAATTTTCAAAAATGGTAGATTCCCCTTATGTTGTTTTGTCCTGCCGAACTTTCACCCCGGTCCCTGTCGTAACTGAAGGGTGGAGAAAAGCTGCCGCTAACGTATCGGCTCATTGTCTGACTGAGACTGGACGCGAACCGCAGACATGGAAGAACCGCGGGATATTCAAAACTTCCGAAGAAATGAAAGAATCAGAGCAACTGTATCGTCCTGTTCTTCACTTAATATGGAAATAAAAAGAAAGAAAATCAGACAGAGCAGTTTGTTTTTACACAATGAGGTAATTTTCTGACATTTTAAACAAGTTTAGATTAAGGGAGTGGACATACAGTCATAGTTCAACATGTAACTAGTTAAGTAACGATTGTTGTAATCATCATTATAACAGGATGAATTCGGTAATTTGTCATAGGCATATAATTCGTTTCCTCTGTGTGTCGTATGTTATCGTGAATGGGGAGTACCAGCCTATTATACGTGATTTTGATTTTCGCCTGTTTATACACAAGTGTTGAGCGACATTTAAATCAGTTGTTGCCAATCCTGCGACAGTAAAAACAGGTATAGCTAGGTCCCCATGCTTTGGTCGTTTCGTTAAGCCTAGGTCTAAGTTAATGTACGTCTGATTAATTGTTGTCCGTAACTCACACCTCCAAGCTTGGGGGTCTGATCCCAAACGGAGTTTCTTCTGTCTGCACTTTGCATGGGGTTTCTCTGGGTGCATGAGTTAGGCGAATTGGTGTTTCTAAATTGTCTGTAGTGCATGTGTGTATCCTTTTTATCTCCTTAGGGGTGCCCCCTGTCCCATTTTCAGGGATAGACACTAGGCTCACCTGACCATGCTCTGCACAAGTGAGCTGGAAATGAAAGGATCACGTTAATAATACCAATCTCAGCTAAGGATGGGTTGTATTATATTAGCACATAACAGAGCAAATAAAAGAACGTTAGGCGTTGTACTCAAGTGGTAATAAATTTATTGGGCGGTAAAACTAATCTCACTGCTTGCAATTAACTTCAACCTTATATTGTTTGGTGTCATTTTACAAAACAAAAGCATTTGCTATACCAATACCAGATGTATAGCTTATTTGATTTTTTTTCTTTAAATAGCTTTTTCATTTTATTTTTTATTATTAAGGTGCAAGCAAGGCTTTTATTGTTTTGTAATGTATTTCTGCTGATGGCTTGGGACTTTGGTTTTTATTAAAGAAATACAGAATCTTTGAAATACTGAAAGCTGTTTTTAGTATTGAAATATGATGAGTAGAAACACACATTCATCTAGACAAGTGGTTCCTGTGTGTGCCGCTTCCATTAATATTTTTTGTCATATTATTAAAAAAGGAGGCCTTTTCCCGGCTGATGCCACCAGAAGCGGACACTTCGTTTTGCTATCGGGGTTTTTTTTCTGTTTGTAGGAAAGCAAGATTCAAGAGAAAATAGACTTTGAAATACGAATGCGTGACGGAGCATACAAGCTGTTGGGGGCCAGCACCAAGAGAGAGCAAATCTTAAGTGTTTCCAAGAACCTCCTTACATGTAATACTCGCATAAAGGCATACTTGACTGAGCTACAGAACAAGAAAGATTTGGAAACCAAGTTCACAAGAAGGTGAGTGGGATGGTTTCTAAATAGAATATATACATTGGTGTTAGTGTGGTGTTGGTTAAGCCAAATTAGTACTTACGTTGCACACGTACAATAAAACTAGTATTTGTACAATTTGGTATTTTTTATCTCACTTTTACATAATTGTAGCAGTTTATATTAACTTGCATATTAAAAAACGAAACACCTTACACCTTACATTTTTTAGATTATCAGGTCAAGCTTGCAACAATCGTCTGGCTTGCAAAGGAAAAGTTGCAATATCAGGTAAGATTACGGCAGTACATTGTACAAGTACCTTGGAATATTTAATATCTCCATTACCCTCAGGCTTCAAGTAGTATATCCCAAATAAATGTCATTAATCCTTGGGAGACACTGGGAGTTAAATGAATTGTGACCGATCACTTTTTAAAAACAGATGAGTATTAATGTGTATTCTATTTAGCAAAAGCAGTAAGTGCTAGATATGATTTCAAAATTATATAAACATTTTTGCACTCTTTTAAGGGCTAAGAATACCGCTGCTGTGGAAAGATTCAGATCACTTCAATAACAAAGGAAGTAAGTTTGTTTGTTTATTTTGTGGCCAGTACAGCATCAGTTTGTCTTAGGTGTGACGGATACAAGTCCTGCACAGTGGCCAGAGGGATTTTCAGCCTTTTCTCTTGCAGAACAGTGGCCAGATCACTAATTGAGTTATTTTTGCATATGACCATGGCTTGCATGTTGCCCTGTTTCTTAAGAAAAGACATATAAATGGAATGATATGCTTAACAACTATGGATATTGCTCTGGTTAATATCCCTGCACATTACATATAAAATGCATATGTCTATCTTTTCTAGGTTCTCGGAAAGTTGCTGTGTTTTGCTTAATGAAAGTTGAAGCAGAAGTTTTTGACACGGAGATGGTGATTGTAGACAGATCCGTAACAGATATATGTTTTGAAGGCTTAACACTTTTGTAAGTATTGATTTTAATCAGGGGGTGGGGCAGTGGTTAGCACTGCTGCCTCACAGCAAGAAGGTCCTGGGTTCAGTCCCAGGTCCTTTCTGTGTGGAGTTCGCACACTCTCCTCGTGTTCACGTGGGTTTTCACCGGGGGCTCCGGTTTCCTCCCACGGTCCAAAAGCGTGCAGGATAGGTTGATTGGCGAGTCTAAATTGGCCCTGTGACTGTGTGCGCCCTGTGGTGTGTTGGTGCCTGCCCACGGTTGTTCCCGCCTGCGCCCATTGCTCCCGGGATTGGTTCCGGGCCCCCCCGTGACCCCAGTTGGGATTAAGTGGTTTTGGAAAATGGATGGATGGATGATTTTAATCAGGCACATACTCCTCACATAAACCTGACCTGGGTGCCTAGCCTAGTTCTATCTCATGACAAACAAAATAGAAATAGCAGCTTTCTCTGGGTACACAATCATTATGCTGGAAGTATATATTTCTGTATCATTACCATTGTTTAAAGCTGTCTTATATACTGATAGTCATGCAATAATTTGCATTGTAAACAGCTGAATTTCAAGGTGCATCATTAGTGCAATAAACTTCAGATTGTAACTACAAAGTTTGTATTTAATTCCGGGATGATTTCATGGTAGAAACCATTTGTGTTACTTGGAACTTTGTATTCAGAGCAGTTTCATTTGCAGTAAAGTTGCATTGTTTCATAATCTCACAATTTCTTCTATTGCAGTAATGAGGCCAGGCCCCATTTTGACTTGTCTCTGGAGATTTACAGCTGTAATATGGAAGAAGAAAGATCCTTGATGAACACACCTAAAAAATTAGCCAGAAAATTTCGTACATCATTTGGCAAATCAACGGGGAAAAGAGCATGCCATCTGGTGGAAGGCGCTGATCCTGAAACATTCCTGCAGTACAACCCAATACCCCCGTAAGAAACCCCTCCCTTCATGCCCTGTGACTTGTAATTATTGCTTCTAGAATATCCTTGTATTTACAGTTATTTTGATTTAACATGCTTCTTTGTCCAAAGTAATGTGCAGGTAAGGCAAATAGCACATTCATTGGTTTTTGTTTTATGGCATTATATTCAAAAACAGTCTTAATTCATTAATTCTGTGTTCTGTACCTATTGTTAACAGTTCTACATAACTGCTAGACTAGCTAGTAAAATTCCTGCTTTTGCAAATTCCATTGTATTGCTAAGGCAGGCAAATTTGATCACGCTCTCAGGGAACAAGTAATGGACGGGAAGTTTGCTTTGTTTACATTCTTGTCTGTAAATGAGAAATCACTGCTGATTCATTTAATGCACTAATTCCGTGTGAGATCTGATGGAGTCCATTTCATGCTTGCATTCTAGGGATGCCAGTTACAGCCTGCTGGCCTACGCCACGCTGCACTTGGAACAGGCAGAAGGCACTTTTCAGTCACACTCGCTGGTAGTCATGCAGAATGGTGAGATGTTTGCTGGTTCCTTTAATTATGAGCTGAACTTTGCACTCTAGGAGCAATGATAAAGTATACAATGGCATTTATATGAAGTACATTTATGATTTTATTGGATTTAGATAAAACTATACATACAGTAAATTTTTACATAAAACAAATATAGATATACGTAAAATGTTTTCTTAAGTGTTATGGACGTATGGCTGTTATGTATGTATGTATATATGTATGTATGTATGTATGTATGTATGTATGTATGTATATATATCTGCTATGTATATCTTTATCAGAGGAATCCTCCTCCTGGTTGCCTTTGTATGGAAATTTGTGCTGCCGATTAGTCGCGCAGCCGGACTGCATGACCCAACCAATGATGAGCGGCTTCTTGAGTCAGCAGGTAAAACCCTTCCATTGGCTATTGTGAAGCTCGCTTCCCCAAGACCACCTGCCCCTGCACTTTTCACCGCCTGCAGTAGAGTTGGATGCCGTACGGGCAGGAAATAACAGTTCATCTGGTCAATGGGAAGTGGCTGTTAATTTATTTCAGCTCTTCCCCTCCACCCTCCATACAACAACATTTCCACTGGAACTCCCTACCTCTTCATTTTAACCATCTCCACATACTTATACAACATATGCAAGACTACTGGCATTCTTTCACAATATTTTGTTTGACAGATTCTTTACTGTGGGCGAAAGACAGGATAATTGGGCCAGTTATTATAAACAACCTGCTACTGTACTTAGCAGTTCCCTTATTTACAATTTTGAACAATGCTCACAGCTTTTTTTTCTCACGCCCCTCTCTGGGGCTTACAGCCCATTTCCCGATGTTGTTGTTTTCTGTCGTCTCTGCTTTCTTGACCCTCTCCAGGTGACTTTCCTTTTAAAATCCAAGACAGAAAGCTGTGTGCTCTCTTTGCCCAGTATTATTGTCTAGTGACTTACGAAAGGGACCCGTTTCCACCTTTGCAGCAAAACATTGACGGGGCCGTCAGATGTTGCGACTTCTTCTGCGTGCTTAAAGCCGCTAATCTATCTTGCTACTATACCCCAGAGGAAATTGAGGCCAAAGTGGAACCTTCACTTGTCATTCCTGTCAACAAGGTAAATGTAAGACCATGCACATTGCATTACAGGCGGACCAGCTGCCGTTACTTGTACTTTGGACTGTAATACCAAACCTACTTGCTTTTTGTATGTATTTGCATTTATGCCGATGAGCCAAAACATTATGAATAGCCCCATGTGAAGTGAATAATAAAACACAACAGTGCTTGATGTCGTCACACGACACCCATGTAATTATCAAAATTATGTGCAGTATGTGTCACTGTTGCTTTGTACCAGACATGATAGATTTTGTTCACATCTTGGCCTCATTCCACCCTATCGACTCTTCAGGACCACTCAGTAGGTGCTCTCACAGGTCACTGTGATCACCCCCCGCACGTCTTGCCATTTTTAGAGACGCTCTGACCCAGTGGTCTGGCCATAATGATTTGGCCCCTGTCATAGTCACTCAGATATTTATCCCTGGCTATTTTTTCTACATTCAACGTGTCCACTATGAGTACTGCGAATGTTCGTTTACCATCTAATATATCCCAGACCTTGACACGCATAATAGTCAATATTATTTGCTTCACATAGGGGTGGTCGTAATATTGTGGCTCATTTGTGTTCCATAAATGCTGACCATATGATTCTCTGTAAGCAGATGGGGATTTTATCAAATGAATTATGTAGGTGATGTAATGAGTTAATTGTAGTAGCCCTTTGCAAAAGTGGAATTTATCAATGAGTACTAGGTTTATTGAAGTGGGGCATAGAATTAAAGCAGATGGATAATTAGTCCTAATTGTTTTAAAGAGAAGGACAAAGGAAAGGGAAGTTAAAATTCCATTCTTTATACAGGAGACCAGGATACGCATGGTACCAAAGGAACTGCAGAAAAGGCCCAACCACTTGGTAATTATCAACCCAGTTGTTGAAGAAGCTGAGACGTACATATTTACAGCAGAGAACAAAGAGGACTTGGAGAAATGGATGGAGGCTTTCCAGCAGCACTTCTATGACCAAGGTGAGTGACTTGAGTAACTGTAGAGCTATAAAAATAGCTGCAAGCTTTTACAAAAATCAGAAGAGCATGTACTACTGAAATCAAACGATGATCCACAATAAGCCACTGCTAATATTGACTAAAGGTGATATACTTCACATGGCACAAATCCACAGTAAAAGGGCAAAATACATCAATTTCCTGGTTCTGTTCAGTATGAGATTTATTTAGCATTATGTTATTTACTCAACTTGGCCCTTGCTAACATAATTGCTCGATGGTACGTCACGGTGCTCTGTATGACGACACTGCCAAGACACGCATTTTCATTTTCAGACCAATGGCGGCACTGTTGTAATGAACTCTTGGAAATTGATATCGCATCTCCGAGGAAACCTCCACTCTTCCTGACAAAACCTGCTGAATCAGTCTACAATGACCTCAGTGAGTGCATTTCACGTGCAGCATGCTATACCTGTGAAAGAAGAACTAAAAATTTTGTTAATATAGCAGATTGTCTTGCTGTGAAGCTATATGTTTTTGTTTTATTGATGTTCCTGATATGGGTATTTTTATTGCACTGTTCAATCTGCAGGTATCAGCTCCCCCAGTAAGTTTGAGAGCTTGACTGATATTATCCACAATAAAATCGAGGAAACAGGAGGCCGCTTCCTCATTGATCAGGAGAAGGAGACAGAGCCACCTCACTGGGCTGCCCTATTTGAGGGTTCCTGCCCCATGGTGGTGCAGAAGACTGTGCTGTCTCCAGGCAAAGAGAGCCAACCCAGTCCCAAAATCATCAAGAAGCGCCGTGCCCCACCCCCGCCGCCTGGCAAGGAGCCATTTGCGCTGGGCCGCTGCAGCAGTCATCAGTTAGAGAAGGAGAACTCCAAAAAGAAGCCCTGGACACGAACAGGCAGGCCATCCCTGGATAACAAATTCTCTGCTATCATCCAGCAGCTGCAGAAGAACCAAGAACCTGCTCGCAAAACAGCCCCCCTTGGTCTTATAGGTATAGTGGAGCAGGATTGTGAGAACCAGATACCTGACCACCTCTCAAGACCTGTGCCAGCTCCACGCCAGAGACTCAGGTCCTTCAGGGAGAAGATGAACCACAAAGATTGGTGACTAACTTAAGAAGCACAAGAACCCTGGCCATACCTTGGTGATAGATCCAGGTAGTTTCATATCTGTCCTGCTTTAGCCTTTCTATTTTAATGTTTTTTTTGTTGTTGATCATGTAAATGGTGTACATGATGAAAAATCTTCAGAATTAGTCTGTTAGACCATACAATACTACACCGCAGTATATTACTAGGGGATCTATTTTCTTTATAGGTAGTTTTGTTGTTTTATGGTAAATGTTTACTGTTTATAGCATAAACTGAAATCATACACAGATTAAGTAGCATATCATTGCCTTAAGTGTAGACTGTAAACCAAAAAGTTTAGTAATAAAGGGTTTTGTCACAGAACTGAAACTGCTAATCTCTTTCCAGTTTATGTAACATTTCCTCTGAAATTCAGAAGCTTTTACACAAAGTATATCTTTACTGTCCTAAGAATTATTTTTCTCTGGCACTGTGAGTCCGTGGTTTTACAGTGGTGATGCAGAATACTTTACATATGTACTCATTACAAATGAGCTTGTTTACTGGAAATTATTGCTTGTTTTTAGCAAGTCTAGTCATGGTTTATTATGGGCACAGAAAGAACAGAATGTGACATAGTGGATGTTTAAAAGCATTCTGTACAATTAACTCTTTCTTCATGTGAACAGACAGCAGTATACACCTTTTACAAGCCAGTAATTTAAATATGAACATCTCCAATATGAACATTCCTTCAGTGTGTATTGCAAATTTTTGTTTGGAGTGAAAGTGCTTTTCTCAATGCATTTTAATGTTTCTTGGCTATAAATATCAATAAAAACCATTGGAGCCCCATTTCAGGGACCTGAACAGCCCTCATTTAAACACCTTGTGAAACTTAGTATGACTTTTGCAGAAAACGCTGATCGTCACAGAGATGGTATTTCTGACAACAATGCATTTTCCATTTGTGATGACTGTTGATGATCTTCATTTGTGATGAAGTGTTTCCTGACCAGTAGATTCCTGCTGATCTCATTTTTCTTGTCAGCGAAGTTTTACTTCCATATCCTAATATTCTGTCAACTTATATCAATCAAAATTGATAATACAGTGGAAACTGCGTACAGTGATCACATCTGTCTGGGTGAAATTGATCACTATAAGCGGATCATTATTATAAACGATTTTCTTTGTCTCAGGCAGATTACCATCCAGTTGACATTTGTATATTTACTACATGAATACAACTGCTTCAAATGCTTTTCAAAATACAGTATTGTACAAATTAAATAAGGAACTGTGTGTAATTTAAATACGCTATAATAGTCCAGTACTGTACATAAAATATAGCTGCTTATAGTTTCATTGCTGCATCTCATTTTTTCTGTATGTTGTCGTGTAAAAGAACACAAAATGAACACTGTAAGCGGACTACTTGATTGCTATAAGCAAATTATTTAAATGGAATTTGCACAGGCATGATTTTGTCCCAAGCTTTTTGATCCATATAAGCAGTTGATCACTATAACCGTGATCACTATAAGCGGTTTCCACTGTACTTGGGGAAACGCAACTTGGCTCTTACAGACCGTTTGCTTTGCTAACTTTCATAGTCATCTTTTGAACTATCCTAAATTAATTGAGGTTGATTGCATTATTTGAATTGTATTAAATCAAATAATATTGTATGTGCGTTGTGCAGCATTTTCTGTTCCAACAATAGTCCTGTTCAATAATCGCAATGTTCTTTAATGGTTTGGCAATAATGATGTCTCCTGAGCGAATAGGACAGGCTCAGTGGAGAGAGGGAAAACAACAGGAAGTACTGTAGGTAGCAATTACTATTTCTAAATATGGGTGCCTGTTATACTTTTAAGTTCACAGAGGCACAGTTTATGCAATTCATGACAAACAGCTGCAAAGGACTAATGAGGGTGGTTGTGATTAAGAAAGAGGTGATTATAGAATACGATAATAAAATAAATTCTTCGTTAAATATAGTGTGATAAAAATAATGATATAGACCTTACTGGTAATAAAAACATTCCATTCCAGTAGGGCAGACTCGATATTTGGGTAAAATACCATATGTAAAGTAATTCTAATTGTATTATCAACTACATATGTAATAGGCCACCCCATCTATACTGCCTATTATCTTCAGCATATTTTAATAAATAAGCAATATTCAACATGTGTATTATGTATATCACAATATCCAGTTCCTATCCTTACTCCTAATTGACGTTACATTTCATTTCTCATAAATGCTTATCCAGTACTTTGTCTTGATGAGCCTATTGGCTATCAAACAAACAAAGGAGATTCTATCAGCAATTTAGGGTTGCTCATCCACCCATTACTTGGAGACCAAGCAAACATATTGAAACAGAAATCAAATCCATAAACCTCGATGTATGAACCCACAGTCCTCCCTCTTGAGTAATTTTTTTTCTCTGGTTTACTTTATTGCTGCAAATAAAAGCTTTAGGTACAAAGGAGCTGAAATCTAATTTGATTCAAGCACCGGAAAAGGTAATAAAATATTATTAAATATACAGGGAAACATAAAATGCAGAATATTATGCTGCCCATTTGACTGGGAACCTCATGACCCAATGGCGTTAAAAGCATTTCAATAAGGCAAAAATGAATTAAAAAAAAAAACTTAAGTGCAATAATCAGTTTATTATTCTTATTTATTTATTTTTTTTTAAATCTAAGGTCATTCAGCAACCTTAAAAAAACAAAGTGTATTGTTTTACAACTTTTACATTATATACAAAGCACACTCATACTGTAACAACAAATGTTTAAAAGATAATATGCATTATATATACAGACAAATATGTTTTTCTGGGACAAATGTTACAGCCCTTTGTCCCAAAACAGATGGATGCAAAAATGTAATAATGAACATGTTTTTAAGTGATCCTTAAAATGATTTACTCAACAACTCCAGTTAGAAATGTAGCCAGATGTTTGTCCCATAGTGGTTTCTGAATGGTGACCACACAATCTTTCCATTAGTCCCAGTGTTACAAATCTTACAGTGAATAACTACAGCAACTATCCATATGAAAACAGCCCATTTTCTTGTTTAAAATTAAAAGTTTTTTCACCTCTTCATAACATCATAATTTCCCATATATAAAGGCCAAACTTCCAAAGCTCATACGTACAGTAAATAGAATGAACTTTGAGGCTGAGTCACATACATGTGTTGTTGCAGCAGTAATTGTATTCAGTATGGCAAGAACCACAACTTCCGATATTTGGTGCATGGCTGTGTCTGTTCATTATCAGAATTAACCAAATCACTTTACTACCTAATAAAAGGTCATGTACCAAATGTCTGAATCTGCAGTTCCGCTCGTACTAAGCAGGTTTGTAACAGTTATTGCAGTAACACATCATTAACAAGGTAAAACTAACCTGTGTCACGATGTTCCATCCTATAGTTACTCAGCCAAACACATATGCTAGTATCAGAATTAGAAAACTTTAACTACCCTGGAGTAGTAAGAATTGCTTTAATATGACTCAGAAATCTATGTCCAAATCTATGTTCACTCTGTGACATGTACTGAATATCATTCTGTCAATAAGTAACATTTATTGTTATATATAATGATATTGTGTCTATGCGAAATTGCCTGGGTAACACTGATCACATGATTTTTAATGTAATCAGAAGGGCCATTTTCTTTCCTTCACAGAGTCACTCAAGTAAGGTTGGACTTGGACTTACAAAGCATAACGCACCTAATCAGCTTTCCAACATTAAAATAGCCCATGTATCTCAGGTGCAGAAAAATGCTCTTGCTCTTCTGCAGCAGTACTTGTATACATAACCGACAGTCCCAAAAGGCACTGTTTTCTTACACACCTAACCAAAAGATGTAATATAACTTATATTCAATTCCTTTATACAAATAGTAGATAGTGAATAAAATACAAAATGAACAATTTTAGACATGGGCGGATATAAAGTCATTGTCAAAACTACAAAACATTTTTACAGAACTGTAATAAAATAGTGAGGATTTTTTATATGGAATGTGAGAATACTACAATCTTCCAGGTGCATAGTCATTCGTAATCCGCACTGATGTCAGAAGAAGCTCCTAAACTGCAAATTGTTTACACTTAAAGAGGCTCCCCAAATAAGGATTTCTTCTGATAGTAAACATATAATTTCTTACAGTGCTTTCAAAAAAGGAAGCCAGTAATTTGGCAGATTTACTCTATACTTTGTATTGACTGAATTACTAAAGTAATTTAGTAATTACTACATAGTTTTAGTTTAACACTTGTTCCTCATACTGTACATGCACCACTCACTTTATTTCAGCACATCATTTTTCTCAGTTTTTACCTCTTCTTTATGAATATAACTTTCTGTTCCTTATTTATTACTTGTTTTTTTCTGTTTATTTTATTGCTTTTGCTATTTTAGTTATGGCAGAGTTGACGGCCTTTCATTTCACTGCAGGTTTATAGTCTCACTGTATGCCTTGCACGTGACCAACAAAAATCCTTGAATCATTCAATTCTTGACCAGTCTGTCAAATTTTGGAAACATACCCAAATAAACACAACACTTATGTGTCCTTCTGATGACAGCTTTACCTCCACATCTCATCTTACTCCATATCCAGCGGAACTAGGAAACCGCCAATGTAGAAAATCAGACTAGTCTATCTATGACATATTGGGGCTGGGGAACTCAGAGGAAAGTTGTGGGAGGTTGAAGGATGACTGGGAACTCAGGGTGGAGAGAAAATCATCGTAGGAGGCCCAAACATGGTGCTTGTCCAAGTTTTGAGGATTGGTGGTGGAATGGAATGCAAACCGAGGCATGAGTGGGGAGATGATGGCTGAGTTCTTCAAGAACTGGAGAGGGTGGGACTTTTCAGCTGGGACTTGGGAGTTCAAACTGTTACAGACATTCTGTACCTGAGAAAAGGGCATCCCAGGGTACAGCTTGGGAAAGATGAGGGGTTGTGGGGATAGTTTAAGGTTTTCAACTTGGCTGTAGGCATGTATGGCATGAGACATATCTACTGGCTTTAATCTCGCACTTTCACTGTCGGGTGTCTTTCCGGTCGCTGCTGTGGAGGGGACAGGTGTCACGGCCCGCATCTTCTTCTCAGGGACCCCGTTTTCTGAATCTTGCTGATACCTTTTCAAGGGCCTAGTAGCAGCAATGTTCTGCATATTACACTTGGTGTTCAGAATTGGCTGTACTAGCTCCTCCATTTTTAGAGTAACAATGTCATCTTCTTTGTCTGGATATTCCTGGAGAGTTTCTGTAGCTTTTTCCTGGCTAGATATTGTGACTGGGGAGATATGGCAAACCTCGGGGTGATAGTCCAGGCTGCTGGTCTGCTGACCATTCTTGGACAAAAGGGGGGGATACTTCAAGTCAGGATGTGCAATGCTATGGGCTTTGAAGGATGATGATTCATGAATAGAATCCTTAGGAAGACTCAAATCTCTGGGTTGGTCCTCTGGTGCTATTTTCTCATTTTTATTTAGAAGTCCATCATGGTCTAAGATGATACTATCATGTTGACTGTTTGGATATGACATCTGAGTAATGTTACAGTCTCCTGAAAACAATTTTCTTTTCCAGTATTTGGTCAGGGGCTCCTTAAACATATGATATTCTGTCTGCTGGTAAATGCTATGCAGATGTGGACAGGAATGAACATTACCAAAGATGTTTGGTGCGTGGGAATCATACAATTTTTGATTATCTCCTGTTTTCTCCATGTTCTTGAGAACATTAGTACTGAGTGGGTATGAGTCAATGGTAGGGTTTTTCTGTAAGTGAAACTGAGAAGGTTTGCATATCCTGCACAAATCTGTCTTCAAATCTTCATATGTGAGCCTTCTCTCTTCTACACCTGGGGGTTTAAAACTGTGAGCATGTTGTATTACAGATGGTCTCTTAACTACCACGGCCTCCACACAGGACACGTGTGAATCCTCCACTGGAAGCAGTTCCACAGGACTTTTAGTTATACATTTATTATTGACCATTAGAAGAGCAGAACCAAAGGAATAATTATTAGCAAATGAAGTACCAGTGACCTGAGACAGAAGCTTCTTCTTGGCCAAGGGAGACATAATACCCAGGTTTCCCTTTGGGTACAATATTGGTAAATGACTGAAACATGACTCTTCCTTGCTGGGAAGATCTGTCTCATTAGCTAATGTGTTACAGGCTGTAGGAGAGTGCAATGGCTTTGATTTTAAAGTGGGCAATGGCTTTGATTTTAAAGTGGGCAATAGCTTTGATTTTAAAGTGGGCAATGGCTTTGATTTTAAAGTGGGCAATAGCTTTGATTTTAATGTGGGCAGTACCATGTCCACATGACTTGGAGTCTTTCGATTTACAGTAAGGTCCTGCTTCTTATGTATATTATATTCAGGGTGGCTGCACTGCCATTGTTCCTTCCCTTGATGCAATGACAGATTAATACCTTGGCAAAGCCCACTGGAGTTCTCTAGCACCTTGTAGCCATGTCTTTCTAGGAATTCACACTCTTCGCGGTGCTCCAGTGAATACTGAAATGAGTTATCCTTGGACAGGTGCTTGGATGGACCATTTTCTACAGAAAAGGCAGGGGACAGTGGTGTCATTGCTTGTACATATATGTCCTCAGTCTTATTTTTGTCAGGGAGGTGTAATTCCTCTTCCTTCTCATTTCCCATTTCCGGGGGCTGCCAAAACTCTTGACTCTCCTCCGTATTGTCAGGTACCTGAAACAAGATGGGATACATTGACACTGAGTACAGTCCTATTCCTCCAAATGCTCCCTATCTTTCATCCAAGTGACGTGATGAAAGAAATTAAACATACTATAGGGTGAAACACACAAATCAGAAACATTCTTTAAAACTAGGCAGACCGAAGCCGAAGTGAAATGTATCACTTAAAAGTAAAGTGAGCTACTGATCACATTGATACCACTGAAAAAGAGTAGCACGTCGTTGCAAATGGAATCTTGAAAAAATTCTCCGGATAGAGTTATTGTTATTGTAAACTAGCTAGTCATTTTTAAAGAAGCACAGAGCTAGTGTATTACATAATATTGCCCACATCATGATCTAATGTGGAAAGGAATTAAACGGACTCTCACGGATGTTTCCCAAAGCGACAGTTAAATATAAAAAAATAATGAATGTGTATTAAATATTTATTGTATTGACAGTTTTTTGTCTTAAATGCACATGAATTATCGTGACCTGATGGTAGACACCGCTACCTTATACCTCTCCGCTAAGGCTCCATGTGTGGGGTTTGTCCCCCCCCCCCGTGTCATTGTGGAGCTTACTCCAGTTTCCCCCCACAGTCCAGAAAACATGCTGAGGTTAATAGGAGTTATAAATTGCCCCTGAATGGTGTGTGCGTGTGCCCTGCAATGGGTTTTCGTCCCACCCTGGCTTGTTCCCTGCCTTGCACTCGTAATGTCCGGGATAGAGCCGGGATAGAGCCGAGCCCCCCCCGCAACTCCGAATTGGATAAGCGGTTACAGAAAATGGATGGATGCCACCACACTGGACATAGAATGCTGAAATTCCATCTCTGCAATTAAGAGGAACACATGGTGACTATTAATTATTATAATAATTGTCTCTGTTTGGAGTCTTCATTTCTAAAATGGTGATCTTATATAATTTTTTCAAATCTTCTACTCTGACATTATTTTTAATGTTTTTCATTCTTTATGTTTTTCGTTTTGCCCTGCGTTGGGTTGGTGCCCCACCCTGGGTTGTCCCCCGCCTTGCGCCTGTAGGCTCCAGGACAGACTCTGGACCCCCCGCAAACCTGAATAGGACAAGTGCTTATGGAAAATGGATGGATGGATGTTTTTCATTTTATGTCCTCAGTCTCATGTTTTCTGAAGAGTTTTAAATACTGAACTATACTAATAGGAGGGTCATAGACAAATGTGTACATATACCAAATGTGTACATATACCACAGCTCTGTTTCCAATCACAGTCCATATTTCAATTCAAAGAGAAATTATATATGATAGCAGCCATTAAGTAATGTCTTAGAATCTGACAAACCAGCATTAAATTCAGATAACATTTAATCACTTTTTCGATTATTTTGTTAGTTGTGGGAAAAGAATAGCCGTGGTATCATTTTATGTTCTTGGTTGTGAGTGACTATGTGGAAAATTTGCAAATCATCACAGATTTATAGCATTTCTAGGATAAAAATAATGTACAATTTTACCAGAGAGGAACATATGGCAGCACTTAGCACTCCAGACAATAATATTTGATGTAAAGCATTTATGCAGAAACTAAGTCTGTCGTGATTTCCAAAAGAAAAGAAACTAAAACAAACCGTTATTGCAAAGGGATTTTATTTGACAAAACTGCTATTCCCAATGTCTAAGAACTTACTGCAGCAAAAAAAAAATAATGAAAATTATAATAAAGGGAACCAAAATTCTGTTTGCATATTCCAGTTATTTGTGTTACATATTCACAGACAAGACAGGGTTGTGTGGTGATATTGTTACTCACTGAACTTAAATGCCATTATTTATGAGTTAATTAAAAAGCAGCATTTTTAAAGCATACTGATAAAGAATAAAATCAATGTTGGTTAACGTGAATTTATTACATTGCGACCAGAGGAAAATAGGGTTTTTATGTTTTTGGGTATTGGACATCATACTGTAAGTAATTTACCTGTGAAGAGGAAAGTCCTTTTTCTGAATGAAAGCTGTCAGTCTTGGGTTCCGGCTGATGCTCGTCTTTGGTGTGTTTTGTTATGACGGCCCGTGCCTTGCTGCCACTGTCTTGGATGTCACACTCCTGTTTCCGCGGCTTGACCTGAGCAATGGGCTTGCCGTCTTCCCCTTTGATGTACTTCTCATATGGGAGGATAAGCCTAGAGCAGTGGCACACGGTAAGAAATCTGGATGGATTTCTACACACACCGTTACTCAGTGAAGGGAGAGGCACGCACAAATAAGCCTTAAGCACAACATACAAAATTCCAGGTTATTATAATCTATAAGATTTTATGAGATAAATCATATATAAAATCCACAGTGACACTTACTCCTGTGACTACCACTCCAATCTGTTTTGTGCTGTATTCTTGTTTGACATCTTGCAACGGAGTTATTTGATGAAATTTACAGTTCTACCAGTTTCCATCTTCCGTAACGTTGTTTGATTAAGGAATAACACTGTGCATTAGGCCTTGGTCTAAAACTATAGAAGTCTGGTTGGATTACCTCATAGTATGAGTATGAATTGTGTATAAAAACAACTACAAAAGTACTTTATGAAGAATACACGCTAGAAAAAAATTTGGCAGTTATGCATTTCATGGCAGAGAAATATGTTTAAAATGGGTTGCTGGTAAACGACTAATAGCTTGGAAAAGTATTTACTGAAACAGCACTATAAGACATCAAAACCATGTACAGCACAAACTGAGCATACATTACAATTGTGCAAAACTGCATGGATTACTATTACTGATGCAGATATGGCCAGCTGCCAGTACTGAAGAAGTGTGTCATGAAAGGGGAATTCATTTTGGATCCCATTACCAACAAAGTTCAAGCATGTTACAGCGGTTATAATGGAAATCTTGTGCTCAAGTACACAACTACCACAAGTCTGATTCCCACTGTAATGTTTTATTTATGAAAGCATAATGTTACATTGTTTCATTTATCCTGAACCAATACTATGAAATATGAAATCTGAAGGGTGTGGTTTTTACCGTCCTTGGTTTTGAACTATTAGCCGTACTAGTTTTATGATTACATTCTTTCAGTAATATGACATGGCAGGCATCAGTTTTTGTCCTTAAGAAAAACCAAGTAATATTCTTTCCACATTCTCATATATGAATGGGAAAAGAACTGTTATTTCTTTGTTATTCTCCCTTAAATTGGCTAAGAAGTTACACTGTAAATTAGGTTTAGGAGCTTGTTTGCTTACTGAGAAAACTTTCAAGAGTTCAAGTAGATCTGCAAGATTTTAATTATTTATATTTATATTTCACTGAGCTCAGACTCTGGCAGTGAGGCAGCAGTTAAACTCCATTTCATGCAGATGGTCAAAGGCCCGATGCCAAAAGCACGAAATCTGCAATTAAAATGTTCCTTTATGCAAGAGACCGCCATAAAAAATTCTCTACTCTTGAAAATAGTTTTCTTCTGAATGTTCTTTTTTTGTTTCTCACAAAAAAATACAACACAGAAAGATTTTTTCCGTTATCACAAGCCACAAAGAAACAATACTCTTGTCATTTAAGAAATCACCAGCCATACACTACAATGACCTGCAGGTGGCATTCTATAATATTGTGGCGTCGGTGAGCTAAGCACCGATCAGACAGTTTGCATATGCCCCAGCATGCCACACTGCCGTACTGTAAATAGCCCCTGCCTATGTCATGCATGTAGTTAACTTGCCTTGTTCTGTGTGTTATGTGTTCATGCACTGGTGTCCTGTTTAGATTTGTGCTTGATCCCTTTGTGTTTAACTGTGTGCAGATTGCCCACCAAGTGTAGTTCCTACTGTTTGTACAGAGACCAGGGTGTTCCAGCAGGAACTGTCATGTGTTTTTAGGGCACTTGGGTTTGCTGTGTTTATGCAATTCTGAGTGCTGTTAAGAATTACAAATAAAAAGAGCATCACAGACTGCATCCCATCAGGGAACCTTCATTACCTCACCCTGTCCCACCTTGGCAGATGTCAGGATGAAACAACATCTGTGTGCCTTTTTTTCAGATATGAATAAGGTCATCAAGGACCTTTTTCAATTTTCTAAGACTTTCCTCAAAAATATAGAAATGGTAACTGAACCACTGACATCAACCATCTGTACTAAAACAATAAATTTAAAAATTTCAAGACAAAAAATAAACTGAAGAACTTTAAAACAGGAAGACACTGAATAATTTCATTTTCCTTAAAAGCAATGTACCTGAAAAAATATGGTAACAATCATAGCAATAATAGAATAATAACTAAGTATGCAAGCTGATCAAAAATGACACACCACTTCCTATAATCAATGACAAATTATTGAAAATAATTGTAAATAAATATCAGGCTATGGGGGACAACCTTACAGAGCTACTACACGGCGTCCCCTAGGGTCTTGGTTTGAGGAAATCGGCTAATAATTATTTTGCCGAAATCCTTCAATGTTTCATGTTAGATTTTCACAAAACAAACATTAGTCCTATTTCTTCATGCCATTGCATTACACGAAGGTTACAAAGGCTTAGTATTTACTGACCATAGATGGATAGAGGTATGATTCTAAAAATAGTTTAGAATATACATCTCAATCAGCACTGTTGCATTTCATTTCTTAACTACACTGTATCCTTAAGTCACATGTAATTTTGATACTAATTCAGCTCAGCTCACTAATTCAGTCACTGAAAGATATTAAAGCAATGGCCATTTAAACATTTTACGTAAGGGTTGTAAGGGTTTGGGTTATACATCACAGCTCATACTATTTCTTGCAAGTGTAAAGGTACATTTGACAAACAATGAGGATGAAAGAGAAAGTTCACCTCTCATAATGTCTGCGTGTGCAGGTTGCAGCACTTGTGCTTCCAGGATTGCCCCCAAGCGCATTATACACATTTTTCCACTGTCGGCGGGCTGTAATCTGTAGACGGAAAGGGATTATTTATCATAACAGATCTGATTTGTTTGGTCATTGGCAGTGTGCACACCAAAGAAGGCAATCAGAAGATCTCCTGGTAGGTTATAACACTGATGTTAAACTTCTACCGCTTACTCAATATGTATATTTATATTACTAGTTGACCATCATAACTATTAGTAAAATTTCTGTTTAAAATAAATGTTAAGTTTGAGTTTTTTTAAAGGAAGATTGGCATCGGGGCTTAAAATACTCGGGGCTATAGACCCAAGTGATCTGACGTAACGACGCCCATGAGTCCAACAAATGTGTTATCACACAAATAAAACAGAAGTGTAGGAGGGTACTTCTGTGCACCACTTAGAGTACAAAATTACTAAATGGTATAATGCATCAATTGCTTGATAAGATTACTGTTTCATCGGTCTAACTATAGCATGTATAGTATCCAGGATAAGGCATCACAGAACATAACACATTTTGCAGCTTCAAAAAAACATAAAAATCAATACAATTAAATCAGCTTTAATTTCTTAACCAAAGCACGATTTTAAAATGAAAGACCAGCAGTCTTGTTATTTCTTGCGCAGGGCCTGAATTATATTCCAGAGGGCAATAAGCTTCAATTACTGAAATTGTAGGGCAATGTTTCTGACAATTTTTGTTATTATTTTTCAAATGACATAAAACCACAGCCAGATTACAGCATAATGTCTAATATATCAAATGAAGGGGCAAAAGCAATGTTTAATGTCTAAAATGGTGAATTTGAAAAGAAAATATTCAACACAAATGTCGATATAAAAATGATGTGTGACTCCTTACCAGTTCATATCCTCCCAATTTTTGAGCAGCTTGAAACATAGTCCAAAGGTTTACTGTTGCAGGGACAACAGACATTATTACACCGCAAAAGGCCCATTTGAATTAAAATGTGAAAGTTTGAATTCTGCAATACTGTTTTTAATGAAACACACATTTTCAACAATACATTAATATCAAATTTTAAGGAATTCACAAAAATATACCCAGTACACAAAATTCTTCTGTCTATATATCTGTCTATATATTTCTACTGCAATCCAAGTGGTATTGGATGAAGTGACTCCGCATTGGTTCCGTAAAGTGCTTTGAGTGTCTTGAAAAGTACAGTATAAATGTAACATTCATTCATTCATTCATTCATTCATTCATGTGTGGTCTGTAGAGAGACGGTCTACTTACTTTGCTTGAATCCCAGGTAAGGTATCCTTTCAATGGGTGTTTTCCTCTCTTTCATGAATTTGTACAGAGCTACTAGAAATGCCTGCTCATCCACATGGGCTTCCTTGCCTGCCCCCAGCTTGGACTTCTTGACAGCAAATACCTTTTTACAGGCACTGCTGTTTTTGGGTTTGGTAACAAATGCCTTACTCTCCGTTTTTGCCTAAAATCAAATAACATTTTAACATGTGAGGAAATCAACCAGATGAAATATACCACATGGTTTTATTTTACATATCTAACTTGGCTGATTTCGGCTAAAGAGATCCAGAGCACTGCACTGCATAATTCATAGGGGTTTGCAAAAAAACACAAGGTGCTGTATTTTTGATCAGGGTGCTTAACCTTTATTTTTTCTGCAAACAATCTAATATTAACGTTTCGATTTTAAATAGTAAATGTTTTTGTCCAAGTTCAAGTGAGGCAAACAGCACATTATAAATAGAGAGCTGTCAAGCAGTCACATAGGCATAAGTGGCCAGATGTCAGGGAGGAATCTCTGAGCTACTTCAGGTTTTACAAGCTACTTTAAAACTGAAAGGGTCCTGTGCTTGGCTTCTTCTGCTTTGATTGGTTTGTTTCCTTGACTGAAAGACTCATCTAGCGGTTTCACATTAACATTTGTGATACATGCATAAGGGACTGACCAATCAGCAAGAACTCAGTGTTTAAGAGAAATCCAGGTCCTTTTAATTGAAATGGTTGTTCACAAATCCTGTCCTTGTTCAAAGTGTCCTCCTTTAAACGGATTATCTGCTCACCCTAGTTAACATACAGTACATGTAGATGTTTAGTTTTGAGATTGCTTGTGAATCGTGTACCTTGACAGTGGCCTTGTCCTCAGCGTTACTGGCTTCCTTGGTGCCGCACAGACCCTGGGCTCTGTGCTGCTGGGAGAGCGGCAGCTTGTTCTTCCTGAGCCGGCCTTTCAAACTAGGGCCTGTGAGGACAGAGCAGCAATAAGGCCCTTCTTTGGTGTCCATCTAACTGGTTTGCAAACTTGTGTAAGTGGATCACAAGTACTGAGCCAACACACATTGCCATTTACACCTGTGTTTATCACGCCTCTCTAAGGTGTCCAGCTGAACACTTGTGATCAGATTTCATTATTTCTTACAGAATGACTAAGATACATGTGCTGTGTAACCATCTACAAAGGCCAATGCCGTAGAAGTAGGGCAGATTTCATGAGATTGAATGGGACGTCTGTAAAAATGCAGAATGCAGATTTCATGAGGTTGAATGGGACGTCTGTAAAAATACAGAATGCAGATTTCATGAGGTTGAATGGGACGTCTGTAAAAATGCAGAATGCAGATTTCATGAGAATGCCTTAAAGATAAATTCAGAGTCACCGTACATTGTGACCCGTATTAGAAAAGAATTGACAGCTAGTTGCAAAATTGGTGCTGCAAGACAAAAATTCCAAAATAGGCCAATCAATTACATTTTACTTTTTACTATTTATTGCTTTTATCAAGCAATATTTTACTTCCCAAAGTCCACAGAGATTAAAGATGAGACAACGGTGGCAAGGAAAAACAGGAGAAACTGGACTCACATATAATTTTAAAATATTAAGTACAAAGCTAGCTTGATTTTCCATGTATCATTCATATTGCTTTTTTAATTAATGGAGCAATTATAATTTTATCTAGAGTCAACACAAAATAGAGAACAAAATGAAACTTCTTTACAGAAAAATTCAGTAATTTTCCCGATGATTTAATATCTAAAAATCGTGTGCCTATTAATCTCCCCTGATGTTAAAAATCAACTTGCAGAATATATTTTTTGACCCAGCTACAAATATGTTCTGAAACCTGAGTTATATGTCATAAATCTGCCAAATCAAAGGCTTTGCTTAAATTGCCTTGGCAATGGAGATCCGATGTTACTTTTCTCTATTTTAGTGCTATAGGGAAGTAAAAAGGACTTGGAAGAGCTGATCTGCCAGGTATTGTTACCATGACCCTTACTAGAAAGGTACACACATGAATATGTCTCTGCAGTTGAAATATTGATGCCGCTAGTCAGTGTGTGTGTGTGTGTCTGTGTGTGTGTGTGTGTGTGAGCGGGTTTACCTATCCTTATGGGGACATAATGTCCCCATAACGTGATAAATATCCGTTTTTTTTCCCTTATGGGGACCAGTTTCCTGGTCTATTTATAAAACTCTATTTTATAAAAATCGGTGACTGCTATGAAAAAACTAAAAATGCAAAAACTGTTGTATTTTGTTTGGTTACTTATGGTTATGGTTAGGGCAGGGTAGGGGTTAAGGTTGT